ACGATGCCGGAGATAAACGCCTCTGAAGAGACCCATCGAAATCGTGACCTTTGACCCTACTTCCTGGCCACGCCGGTGACCTTAGAGTCTCGAAAAGTGGCTCTTGGGCCCTCCTTCGAGGTCCCTAACAATAATTATAGAGCGGAATTTTGATCCAGGGGGGTCAATTTTTATCTTTTATATGTACCTTAAGATGGAGATAAGTGCTTGTGAACGAAAGATTTTCGGAACTGCAGAATTTTCCCTGAAGTTAGTGACTGACAAGTGCATTTTTGATACATGAGAAAAATTAACAACCATGCCGATTTTTCATAACAGAAGTTTAATAACTTTTTTCTAAGTCATCCTTTAACCCCTTAAATGGACTCGCCGCATATGTGCGGTCTGGCACCTGCCTTCTCTCAATGGAATCACTGCACATATGCATTCAAAAGTTCCCAGTTAAGGGGTTAAGATATTTAAAGTCTAAAAGAAAGCATTTTGTAGCTGAGTCTTTCTTCTTTCCATTACATGTAACCAGAAAAATATCCTTGACAGTATCACACCTAAAATGCACGTTGAAAAGAGTGCCCTTTTTTTGGGCAACCCTGTATTTATTTTGTATTGCACACTATATAGCGCATCGCAAGTTCAGTTATTATTTTCCCTATGTTGCACAATCATTTGTTCAATATGCTCACCATTATGCTGAAGGCATACTTCCATGCATTGGGTCGTATAGATCTGGAGTGGGTGATTATTTTGGGTGGAGTGTCACTTCACGAGTTTTGGTGAGCTTCAAGGGCCACACTCCAGTATCTATGAGAATACCTCAATCGCACAATCATTGCTTGTCGGTCCTATTCCCTCCTCTGCAATAAAAACTGAATGACAGCATCTTCTAATGCATCATGTTTTTCAACCATCCAGTTCCTCACAAAAGACTGCCAAGTATATCGCTCCCAAAAACATTTCATGTCATTCATCTTCAATTGTGTTAAAGTGCACTGTGTGCACCTGTAGGACTATCTGTGACAAAATGCATCCAAATGGCTCGAATCCTAGAAAATCTGTTTGAACAGCTAGATTCTCAATCTCAGATAGCCACAAATCCCAGAGTTGATAGGTTTGACAGTTGGGCCAGGTTATTTTGGGTCACATGACATCTTGATAATTAATAGCCTGAATCTCAAGAAAGCACCATTCTAAAAAAGACTGTTGTCGAAACATGGCTTTTTGAGGAGAGTTGAGGAAAGGAAGGGGAAGAGGGTCTAATTATGACAATGAAATGAGTAAGCTCAGCTCCTTCATTGATTAAAATTGGTCCTTTCTATGACCGAATGAATTAAAATTTTCCTTTTGCTAGACAGAGTGGTGGGCTGGATAAAATCATGTGGCGGGCTGGATTCGGCCTTTGGGCCATATTTTGCCCACCCTTGATATAGATGTACTTAGTAGATAACACACATAAGAAATACATTTTCAGTTCCTTTTTTTCTGTGTCACCCTGTATATAGAAATATTTCAATAAGCATATTTGCAGTCCACATTGCTACATAATCCTGCATTTGAAGGCATACATATCACCTCCAATCAGAAGTGTCCTCTTCAGAGGATGAGGAGGATTCTGATTGGTGAATTTAATTGAACCTATGAAGTGAAATAGGACATATTCTATAATATAAATATTAAATTATAAGCCTGTAATTGCAGAAAAATCATTGGTTACTTCATGCTCTATTCACTGAGTCTGTTAACAGGCTCAGGTTTGGGCATAGGCTTAGGACTTCCTGAATGTGGTCCAAAGCATTGGTTTCAATGTAACATGTGATGTTTAAGGTATGACTCTTCTTACCCAGGTGCTCTCAGGGGATGCTATCATTGTACGAGGACAGCCTAAAGGTGGTCCACCACCTGAAAAGACCATAGGACTCTCCAGTATTGTGGCTCCTCGCCTTGGCAGACGAGCTACTGGAAACGTTGAAGAAACAAAGGATGAGCCATTTGCATGGGAAGCTCGAGAGTTCCTTAGGAAGAAACTTATCGGGAAACAAGTTAATTTTGTTGTGGAGCACAAAGCCCCTAGTGGAAAAGAATATGGATATGTATATCTTGGGAAGGGTAAGTATAGCTGCCTCACCATTGAAGGCAGTGTATTAAATGGAGAAAAATCATTATGTTTCAGCCTTGCATTATGGTGATTAATTGCCTGCACCATCATTTTTTCATTTCTTTGCAGTCTCAGGAGACCAGAGACTAGTAATTTTCGTTTCCATAAGGAAAGACCATCTCCCAACTAGCTGTATCTTTTCAAATAATTATTCAGTTCTTTCACTATTTATCCAATGCTGGTATTGCTTATCAGTTAGAAAAGTTGCACATTATTGCTGTCTTCATGTAGCTTTTCAGTATGACTGAGAGTGACATAAATCATTGAGTGAGATGTTGAGGCATCAATGGAAAAAAGAGACAACTAGATGGGAAGTCACATTCATGAGAAAGCTTTTTCTTTGAAAAATAAATGTATCTTATTCAAAGGTTAAAAGTGAGGCAATAAAAGTTTCATCACATCTTTCAATAAGTGCCATAGTTGCCTGTGGAAGTCTTACCATCTTTTTGCTTTTAGACATTGCAGAAGGAGAGAACGTGGCTGAAAGTCTTGTTTCAGAGGGCCTAGTCTCTGTGAGACGGGAAAATATAAAGAGTGGTAATGATGTGCTCCAGAAATTGATTGAGCTGGAAGATGCTGCGAAAGCTGCTGGCAAAGGGAAATGGGGTCCAAACAGTCCCACTGTATGTTTTTTCAGCTACTTCAAAATGTCATTTATCCTAATGTTCAATATTCCTGTTTAATTATCTTTTCTCTACCCTTCTCCCCCCTCCCCTAAAGCCCATGGGTGTTAATTATAGCATGAATTCAGGTAAAGATGCTGGGCAGTTTGCTGAACAAAATGTGGCAATTGCAGGTTTGCTTGGCTGTTAAAGTGGCAGTGTAACTGCCAGGTAAATAGGTAGTAGGACTTGGAAGCCAATATCAGTTGCCAAGGATTACAGAAAGGACATGGCATTTTTCTTTTAAGCCTTTGCACTCATTTGTCGGGAGTGGCCCGACATTAGCCATAGCATTACAAGGAAAATCGAGTGCAAAGGGTTAATGAGTAGGGACAAAGATGCTCTTTTAAAAATCAAACTACCTTGCCTACTTACATTTTAAATAAGTGATGATTTCTATAAAGAAGTTTGATTACCTGAATGAATTGATCATCCCACTGATATCTGGATTCCTTATAATTATTGTTCTGCTGTTACCGATAATTTCCTCTGGTCTTGCTATGAGCACTTCCCAAATGCCCACACTTTCTAGCAAAAAAATTTGGCATTGCTGTTTGGGAGTAGGCTATTAGTAATTATTCAGCTCACAACTTGTTTGGCTCCTTTTTTTAAGCCTTTGAGAATGTTAAGCCCATAAAAAAATTCTGAATCTGGTATTGGCTGGCAGAATATGAGAGGCTCTTTTTTGCACCCTATAACCCCATCATGGATCCAGTTACATCATTCTGGGTGCTGATATTTGCAGAAACTTACATCTTCCCTCTTTCCTACCCTCAAATTGTTCTCTATCATGTCCCCATATTAAACCATTAGTTTCCATTTAGGCTGATGTTTTTGAAGGAGTTTGATTTCTCTTTCTTAAGTTCTTTTCGTATGCAAACTTTTCTGTCTTTTTATACTAAATTTGTCTGCCTAGCCTAATTTTTTTTTGTATTTTCATTCCTTTCAGGACCATGTACGAGACATCAAGTGGACCATTGAGAACCCCCGGAATTTTGTTGACAAGATGGGAGGGAAACCTATACCTGCAGTCATTGAGCATGTCAGGGATGGAAGCACTGTCAGAGCTTTCCTCCTTCCAGATTTTTATCATATTACACTTATGCTGTCTGGTATCAGGGTAAATGTTCCAGAGTTGTCCAGTTTCTTAATGTTTAAGACTTGCTGACAAATCTACACAACCTATTTTTGCTGGTGCCTTATGCTTGCAGAGTCCCATGTTTCGCATGGGAGAAGATGGCAAGGTTACATCTTCTGCTGAACTTTTTGCTGAGGAAGCAAGATTCTTCACAGAATCCCGGCTTCTGCAGAGAGATGTGGAGATAATCCTGGAAAGTGTCAACAACAACAACTTTGTTGGGACCATCAGACACCCAGTAAATTTTTTATCAGCATCAAATTGGAATTATTTATGAATTCTAATCTGCTTTGCAACTAAGAAGTATGTTCTCTTCAGCATGGGAACATTGCTGAAGCTCTCCTGAAGGAAGGTTTTGCCAGATGTGTGGATTGGTCCATGGCATTTGTCACAGACAAGCCTGAACCTTACCGAAATGCTGAGAAGCTAGCTAAAGAGAAGAAATTAAAAATCTGGAAGAACTATACTCCATCAGCACCACAGGTGAGTCACACCCACCTGTAACAATAACTACCACGCATAGGTGGAAATTTGAAAAAAATTTATGACTTTTTTTATGGGATAAATTTGACAGTGGAAACAGCAGCAGATAATTTTTTAACTTTCCAAGAGTCTGATGGACTTGGGGAGTGCATGAAAATGGAAAGTTTATATAATCAGTTCATTTGAACCCCTGTGCTCTTCTGGTGATGTCTTCAGAGATATTCTAGAGAGTTTTGTTTTCAGAATATTTCTAATTTCATGTCAGATGTTTTGCTTCAACTTCATTTTATAGCCTTAGGCATTCCTTAAAATGTTCCTAAAGAAAATTATTCAGGTGAGATGTATTAGCAGCATGCGGTACCCTTTCTTGAGGACCAAGAAGGGAGATGACATCTTGTTGAAGGACTTGCTGTGTAGAAGGTTAATGATAACTGACTGTACCTGTATGAGTTGGAATTCCATATTTTTTTACTCAGAGCCTTGGATTCAACAGCCATCAGTCAGTAGTAGAATAAAATGTCAATATGACCATAAATACTTTTTGAAAAAAAAAAAAAAGCACTTATCCCTTAGAAGCACAATCCAAAATCAAGACAGTTATAGATTACTGAAAGTAGGTTGCACAGTGGACTAGTAGCTGGTAGAATTACTCTTGACTTGAATGACAACCTTCATTCTTTGTGATATGCTCTTGATGCACTTTTTACACATTTCAATGTTTAGAGCATTCCACACATCCTAAACAGCCTTTAATAATTCATTACTTAAGGAAAATCGCAATATCCGCTGGATTGCAGTCAGGAAAGTTTAGTGACCAATCAAGGAGACTGATGTTACCATGGAACCACTGTCATTACATGTGCCATAAGGCATGGTATGTAATCATGTTAAAAGTTATATTGCTGTATCTCCTGAAATATTTTGTTTGCTAGACAGTTCTGTATTCTCTAGAATTTCCATATGCCAGTCTTTGTTGATGTTGCTGTGGACTCTGACTAGCATATTGGAACCCTGCACTGAAATGCAACTGCAAACTGTGACATCTCCATGTTTCTCATCACAGTTGCCTGACAGGCAAATATTTCACAGGCAGATATTTCTCTCAGAGCCTTCTGTTGCATATTTATGGCCGATTGCTGATAAATTTGAAGTGACTTTCATTGCTGAAGAGAACTTTCACCCAGTCCTCTTCTCTGATTTGAGCATGTGCTCTTGCCCACTCCAACTGATTCTGCATGACTTTCCTTGATAACATGGATTTTCACTTGCATTTGCAAGCTTTTGGAGTTCGTCACCTTTATAGCCCTCCTCAAAATGCTCCTTCACACCTTGACTTACCAGCTGTAACACCTGACCTTTCACAATTGAATTTCATCTCTGCAATACACAAAGTTTGAGGTGTAGTTTATTATGTGGTGCAATAATTTTTTTCTAGCTGTCCCCAGGTTTTCTGTCCACTGTCCTCTGCTTTGACATCTTCACAATTTTGTGTATCCCTGAAAATATTACCACCACCCCCCTTGACCCTCAATTTATTGATTACCTGTTTGTATATGACTAGCCTCAAAATGTTATAATTACAACTTATGTTTTTAATGATGCTTTTAATGATGAAACAATGTTTTTAATAATGCTTTTTTACCTTCCTGAGCATTGACGTTAATGGAAAGCATTTATCACAGCATTAGCTGGTTTTTGACTGCCATGAGGCTTTAGAAAAACTGAAGGATGCAATACTATGCCTTTAGGAATCTGCTTTTAGATAGTTTGTTACTCATTTTTTTAATTATCTGATATTTGTTGATGGGTTAGTCTTCTTTGAAGTCTTTGTGTTGCAGTTTAAGTATTAAGCTAAAGCTATTGCAAATTTCATCCTTCTCTGTGGGACTGTTAATGAAGCATTCTTATTAGGGGATTGGGGACAGATCATTTTCCAACAGCTCAAAAGGTTAAGGACCAGGGGAATGGCATCAAATCCCACCCCTATCAAGTCAACTGTCAAAAAATATAATTTGAAATATGTTTTTCAGGACCTAACCCTTTGCCAAGCCCAATTATATTCATTTTCAAACTGGCCAGAAGCATGTCAATCAATGTTTAGATATGCTAATATATTACTCAGATACTTATTCTATATCAAATTTTTTGGAGTAAAAATAATTCAATTTATGACCCAAAAAAGGCACAATATTCTTAAGGGACTGAAGCAACAAACAAAAACCTGTTGTGGAGCAGGTGCTGGCATCGGTGTAGTTTTACATTGACATCCTCAAAGTGTTCTGAGATCCTGCCCAGGGAAAGGGTTAAAATTCAGTGGTCAAAGGGCTATTTGGCTATCACCCATCCCCAGTGTCAATGCATCTGCAAGATGGGTTGATGTGCCCAAAAATCAGCATGGTTTCAAAGCAGTTTTATTTTTGTTGTATGATCTGACAAAAGTGCCAAATCTGTGAAGCTCATTTCCTTCATGAGTTTCAATTGCTGATTATCCATTATGTCTTCCAAATGATGAAATATGGGGGGGGGGGGGGGTAAATGCTGGAAGCCAGATGCAAGTTGTCAAAAAATGATCTTCCATGCACAAAGCCTACTGAACACCATCTCATGTGTGCTGAAAGTTTATCCTGAAGGCAGATTTCTTAGTGCTTAGTGCCTACCCTCAATAGCTGTTTGGAAAAACCAGAGGAAATGTTCAGAAAATGAATTACAAAGCATCCAAAAGAGGATTGCTAAGGTATCAAGAGAAGGAAACCAGGAAATTTAAAAAATCAATTTACACTACATTTTCAAGGTTACCCAGAGAATAGAAATGGCATAACCTATGCCTTTTATATGTAGGCATAGGACTAACAATGAGGTGCACAGTATTATAGACAATTCAATATTTGCCAATATTCTATTTTTATGTGATAGCATGCTTAGTGGCTCTTCCCTCAAAAGTCAATGCATTGAACTTTTGGCATTATGCTGGCAATAGTGAATCTGGATGTTAGAATTATGACTGTTAAGTTTTTAGTTTTGAAAATATCCATGCAACGACCTGAACCATCAAAACAGCATTTATGCAATGGCTACTCATGTCTTAATAGGTAAATGTGAGCAATTGACAAAAAAAAGAACAGAAACTTCCTTGAATGAAAGTTTTGTGTTTTCTGAAGAATCCTCCATGATCCTGAGTCTATCCCATTGTGCACCACAGTTTCATGCTGGGAGTAACCTGAACTCAGTGTAGCCAGATAGAGGAGTAATATAGAATGTTAAAGAAAAACCTGTTTCTTGCTCCATATTGCCCCACATCAAAGTGACTTTTATCCTTATTTCCTTTTCGTTCCTTTCTTTACTAATTTTCTCAGCTCATTGGAGCCCCATCATCATGAGCATGCACCTAAACATTATTATTTCAGTGTTCTCCTTTTTGGCCTGTAGATCTTTTGCAAAGCCTGATAATGCCAACTATGCAACCAACCTTGCATTGTGACAACCCTAATTTGAATAAATATTCTACACTTCACTTTTAGCAATGGTGGATCCAAAAATGTCTCAAGGGAGGCACTTGTTCCAAGATATAAACTGTCATTAAGGATTAGGGACAAGACAGGGCAAACAGCTGAATTGCACAATTTGTTATTCCCTTGAGCATCAAACTGGGAGGGGAATTTTTAGACTGATAGAAGGCAAAGAGGTGCAGCATTAATTCATTGCTTAAAAAAAATAATACTTGAGGCTGTTGAAAAACAAACCCCAATGAAAAAGCTGTGATGATTGAAAGTATATTGGATGCAAGTAATGTAGGTATTGTAATTGGATTGCAATAATGCACAAAGAACTTTTGATTACAAGGATGAACTTGGCATGCTTAAATTCGAAGATTTTGAGTTGCTAGAGTGGGCTTTATTGTGATTGGTTGGTAAAAGACTGCAGTTTTGAGCAATATGAAATTTTCTGAATTTATTCCAATTGAGATCCCTTCATGAGAAGTCATTCAAATGATTTTTCAGATGTCTAATGGTTCATGAAAGTTAGTCAATTGACAAATCAGGTGACAGTCAATTCCCTGCCCCATTCCAAGGTCTTGCTTACCAATGAGGGACTGTACCAAATGTAATTAATGTTGGAAGCCTTGAAAAAGCTTTAATTGTTTCTTCCAAAGATTCAAGCAAAGGATAAGCAGTTTTCTGGGAAAGTGGTGGAAGTCATTAATGCAGATGCTATGGTGATAAAGCTCAATGATGGAACTCTGAAGAAAGTGTTTCTATCCTCCATCCGTCCACCACGGTAGGTTCTGTTTCTTCATTCCCAGGTTTAACCCTTCAAGCAGTTTTCACGTACACTGTACATTCATCACTTAGGAGGTCAGCTCTAAACTCAGTGCTTGAAGGGTTAATTGAATCAATATATATATATGGAACCATTTTGAGTGCCATGCATTTTTTTGTCAAGGTTGCCAGATGAAAAGTCAGGGGATGGAAAAACCAAGGGCTTTCGTCCTCTTTATGATGTCCCATTTATGTATGAGGCAAGAGAATTTCTTCGAAACAAGCTCATCCACAAGAAGGTGATGGTCACGGTTGACTACATTCAACCTGCTTCCAATGCCTTCCCTGAACGAATGTGCTGCACTGTTCATCTTGGAGATGTGTGAGTATAGATACTTGAGTAAATGCATCCTTTAAATAATTTCTCATGATTATTCATGATATCCATCCCACAGGAATGTGGCTGAAGCTCTGTTATCCAAGGGATTGGCAACAGTTGTGAGATACCGACAGGATGATGACAAGCGATCCTCACATTATGATGAACTGCTGGCAGCTGAGATGAAGGCTGCCAAGTCAGGGCAGGGATTACATTCCACCAAGGAATTGGTGCCACATAGAGTCGCAGATCTGGCTGGTGTATGCTAATTTTTTTGTTTCAGTTGTCTCCAGGTGTTCCCTTTGTCTCAAAGATTCTTAACCATTTCACATACAGATTTTCCTATCAACACTATAGCAATATGATGAATTTAGGTATTTCATTAGATGTGAAGTGGTTAAGATAGAACTGCTTCAAAAAATGTTCACAGCAAAATTTGGGTTTATATATAAATTTTTCTTAATTGAAGTTGATTTCCTCTCATGTTTGAGCTGCATTTATTACAGAAGCCAATTTAAGTCAGTCATAAATAATTTCTTGTGTATGGTCTGCCTTGAGCTTATTTCAAAGCAAAAAATTCAAGGTAGAATTAAAAAGAATTGAAGGTTGTGAGAGGGACAGTAATTGTAGAAAGGACCAAGTAAGAGATGTAGATTTAGTATGCTTCTAGGCAGGTAGATTCCAGGCATAGAGGTTAATTCCTTCTCACCTTTTTGAGAAATCATGAGGCTTGAAAATGCTGTAGCATTTTGTCACTCCACTCTTATTTATGCTTGTGCTGAGGTTGTACCACTGTGGGATTCTATAATTGTTCTCTTTATGTACCTCCTCAGACTTACCCCTGAATTATCTCTTGTAAGATAATGGCTAGAAAAGCTAAAAGCCCTAAAATGAGCTTGAGCTAATTGGCCAATAATTGAATTTCCAGGATGCTCAGAAAGCCAAGCAGTTTTTGCCGTTCCTTCAAAGGGCAGGAAGAACAGATGCACTAGTGGAATTTGTGGCAAGTGGATCCAGGCTCCGCCTTTATGTCAAAAGGGAAACCTGCCTCATCACTTTCCTTCTTGCTGGCATGTTCCCCACTCTTCATGCCATCTGAAGGGCTTTTCACATTGCATATTGTCAAACTGAAGGATAAAATGTTATTCTTTTTTCCCCCACAGGGATCAATTGCCCCAGGGCACCACGTCAAATGCCAGGCTCTGGGGGAATGGTGGAAGGGGAGCCATGGGGACAGGAAGCACTTCAATTTACGAAAGACTTGTGTCTTCAAAGAGAAGTGGAGATTGAGGTTGACTCCATGGATAAAGCTGGCAATTTCATTGGGTCTCTATTATATTCTTATCATCATTGGGCATATCCCCAAATTGAAACATGCATGTACAAGGGGCATTCAGAAAGTTTCAAGCCTGTAGCATATCCAGATGCAATACTCCTTTCTTCCTTTTTTCATGGAAGGACAGATGTCTTTGAAGATGACTAGTAAAATTTCACCATATTTGGTGATCATTGACAATTTTTATGTATTTATTTCATTGGAATACCAAGGTGTCTACTGAAAAAATAAATATTATGGTGAAAGCTGTGATGCATTTTATCACACTTCTGGAGTCAGTCTCCTGGCATAACTTTTAGTTCCTGAGAGGACAAACTTCAACTGACCCTCCTTTCAGATATCTGCTGGGAGGTGTTTCCAGCAAGGTGGGAAAATTAATAAAAGCTTTAATCTCAATTTTCATATTCTCTTAGTAGATACCTTGGAAGCACACTGAAATAAATTAATAAAAACCATCTCTGATCATAAAAAATTTGTGAAATTATGCTAGTTGCCTTCAAAGACATGTCCTTCCACATGAAATGGAAGAAATGTGTATTACAACTGAAAGTGCCTTGGGCTCAAAACTTTTTGAATGCCCTTCATAATTCTATTGCAAAAAATTAGGAAAACATGGAAATCAGACTATCCCTTTTCCAGTTTGATTCTTTTGGACAGCTTTCAAGAACTGCCCATGCACATAGCAGAATTACCTAAAATTCTTCTTTTATACATCCCCCACTAAGAGTTTTCCTGTATTTTTGCTAGGTAGAGTAGATGTAAATTTGGGTAATTTAATCAATATATAAATGGTGAAATAATTTTTCTTGGCAACTTGTTAAAGGACATGTGTTCCTTTTGTTCCCTTGTGTTCCTTTTGTTTCACCTTGAGTTATTCCTGTGTTATGTAAAACATGCCATTGCAATTTGGTAAATATCTTACTGCACTTTTCAGCCACAAATGTATCAAATATGAAGCTTGTACATAATTGTCACATTTCTTAGATTTCTACTATCATGTTCTCCAGCATTAATTTTGGATCTCCCCCTGTAAAGCTGTAAAAAAATTGAATCACCTTTGAATTGTCATTGGTTCAGATTTAGATTTGAGTCAGCTTTCTGGGGAAAGCCTCTATAAGATTTAAATAAAATTCTGAGCCTTAATTATTTCTTGGCATTTACTTCGGCTGAAAAATTGAATGCAAAATTTTGTACTTGATATGTAATTGTAGATTATTGCAAGAATGAAAGCTTGAATTTTCTTCTTGTAAGACATATTGGCTCATACTATGTGAAATCTATGAGTCCAAAGTTGAGATCATATTCAAATTTTTCTTGATCTTGGGGAGATTACACTCTTCTTTGCATTTCCTTGTACTCATGTCCTTTTCTTGCAATTTGCTAAACCTGGGCCATTTGTGGGTTGACAAAATAAAAACTTGTATATGTTTGATCACCTGGTAATAATGAGCAGTACTTACCAAAGTCAGTGAAAGTATTCTCCAAGAATTTCAACAGTTAGTAAATTAACATTTTTCTTTGTTTCTCTCCTAAACCTTCAGTTAGGAAGGAATTATGTCAGGAAACCTTATATGATGGAAGGGAAAATCTTTTACATGACTGGTGTCAGTTTTAGATGCAGCTTTCTTTCCTACTCCCTGTAGGCTAGTTACTGCAGGAGTGTGTTCATAAGGTAAAAATTTTCAGAATAGTGGCACTTACGATGCATTTTGCCAAAATTTATATTTAGCAAATAAAGGCCCTTACCAGTACATGCTGAATAATGACTAAAATTAGAGGAGTTGGGAAGCATGGTATCAATCTGTAATAAGTCTTTTAGGGAAATGAGCCATTGCCTAAGCCTGAACTAGCACTTGAGATTCACCTTTCCCTATAATGGTTGCATGCATTTCATGAACCTAATTGCTATGAACAGAAAGTCTAGGATAAGAGTATGAACCTTTTAAAAGTTGCTTTATGAGAAAAATGGCTCAAGTTCAGCCAGAGTGTGATGTGTGTTTTCCCCCAATTTATTTTTTACAGGAGTATTCTTATTCTGGAGGTATTCTGGGACTATAAATTATGAATGCTCTTGTGCAATTAGTTTATCAGAATATTGCTGTAGAGGTCAAGAGCATACCAATTGCATTTGCCTCTTTTGCATCCATGATAAATTAACCTCCTCCAGGTTCAGTTTTCTTAAGACACCAAGTTCCTTTTCACGTTTCCTTACAATTCATATAAACATGTATGTAAATACATAATGAATTTCTTTGCAAGTCCTTAAAGAAATGATTTTAAAATATGATGAAGACATGTAAAATTGATGTTTTTACCAAATTATCTGAGCTTTTTTTTATGCAAACACCTTCATGCCTTATTCTTATGGAAATTCCAAGAGTACTACCTTTGAGCATGATGTTTTCTTTTGGTAAGTTGTGTAAAGCTAGGGAAATATAGCCACGACATTGGCTAAATGTGCAATTTCGCACATTAAAAAAATTTTTTAAAGTTTCTAACCTTTTCTCCATACTCAATAAGTCATTTCACACAATTATGAGTCCATTCCACTGGCAAAGTGGACTAATTGTGGTTCTAGCTGGAGTAGGCCCTTAATTTGGCTTCATAGAAGAGCATCCCTGTTAGAACATGATGGCATGAAATTTTCAAGATGAATTGAAATGCAGGTAAGAAGGATTGTCAGAAAAAGGAATGGAATGCTTAGATATGATTTCATTCTTAATGCATGTATCAAATTACCCTAAAAATATCAGTGGAAATTCAAATGGTTGACCTCATTAGGGAAGTGGTGAGTTAATTGTCTGAAGGATGATACTTTATTGCAGTTCAAGCTCATCTGGTTGCGACAAATTTTTCACCTCTCATTTGCACAGGATATGAAACATTTCCATTCCTTAGCCATTCCCTTTATTTTTTTCTCGTTGCTCACAAAGCCATGTAAACAGGGCTTTGATGGATATTTACATATAAACCCACACAAAAGACTGCCATAATAATCCTTTTCTTGGGTTTTGAGTTTGTTGAGACCAATTGGTGGGGAATAAGAGGAGGGAACTAATTTTCCACTTGTTTCCCATCCTTAACACAATATTTCTCTCCTGAGTTATTTATCAACCCCCCTCTTCCCCTTTCCCTCAAAACACCTCTTTTGTTGAATGAAATAAAAAAAAAAGAAGTAAAATGCCATATATGGATGGAGGTAGAGTTTTTCTCTTTATTGCCAAAATAATTTAATGAAGTTGGTTTTCATCATCATAATTAGAAAGAGAACATTTTCCCATTAATAATAATACAATTCTGATGAAATTACAGACAAATTTTGAAAAATTACTTTCTTAATGTGTATTATAAGAAAAGTAACTTTTACTAATGAAGAAAAAATGAAGTTTTGAGGGTTCTGAGGTGTACTGCTTTCCACAGGCACATGCCCTCATTTTTTTCTTATGAATAAATGAGTAATGCCTTGGTCACCAGTAGAAGCATATGCAATTAGTCTGACTCCTGCACTCCCTGGTAATGTTCTGCTAAACCTAACTTTGCTAGGGTATTCATAATTTACATGGGTCCTTCTAGGATTATAATTATGCTCATACAAAAAAAATTGAGAAAATGTCACATCATTCACTGCACTCTGGACCAGACTAGAGCCTTCAGTCACTTTTCTGGTCCATTAATCTGAACTATGCCCAATGTGAAACCCTTCAGGTGCATTGAATGACTTAGGCTATTTGTTTTTATACTTCATGTTTGACAAGCTCTCAAAGTGAACCAAGGCAGAGTTCAACAGTCCATATTTAGGCTTATTGTTGCCATCATAATGAGTTTCTTTTATGGTTCATGAACATGATGGTAAATATTTTTCAATATCCATCTAGCAAACCGACTGCATGTTATTATTATGTGCCATGGTGGGCATTAAGTGGGTGGGTACCATATAGACATCACACAAGATACAAGATAAGCAACTGTCATTTCTTATGTCATGCCTCTCACTTTTTATTGATTGAAACCCAAGCTCAAAGAAAAGAAACACTCACAATGACACCATGGAAATGTTTTCATATGTGAGTGTTTCTTTTTTTTATAATAATTAGTCTGGAGCAGAGATCACCTGGGTTTTATTTTCAGAAAATGTTGATATATACAGTAAATAGAACATGCAGAAACTCTGACAAAATTATTGGCACCTTGAGCTGCTGCTAATTTTGAACCCTGGATTAATAGTATGTTCTTTGGCTTAATTTTCATTTGCCATGAACCTCATGTAAATCCCCCATAATATCCTTCTGGCTTGGGATTAATTTTTTAAGATAGATCTCTATCTCCTTCCTATGAGCCTGGATTCAATGCAGATTCAAGTTGCAAAACTGGGTAAAATGATTGGGATGTTTGACATTTGAATATTTTATTCTTGCATAGAATGGGATTCAATAGGGGATTTGCCCATCACTAGTCCTTACTGTGGGACCACCAACTTTCATTTATACTTTGGTTCTATTGAGTTACAAAAATATGTTTTGTAACTAGATGGTTGTGGGTTGAAGGCAAAAATCTATCAGTGGCTCTGGTTGAAGAAGGCTTTGCAAGTGTCCATTTCACTGCTGAGAGATCCAAGTACTATAGTCCACTGACTGTTGCACAAAGTAACGCCAAGGAGAAACGAGAAAAGGTAAATATTTTACTAAGAGACTTGAAACTGAAAATCGATTCCCTCTCAATATATATATTTTTTCTGTATTCCTTCCTTTCTTCTTGTGAAGATCTGGATGGGTTATGAAGAGCAGCCAGAGACACCTTTGCTAGATGATACAATCCAGGAGAGGAAGATTGATCAGAAGAAGGTGGTTCTGATTGGAGTGACAACGCAATTTCATATCAGCGTTCAGATGGTTGAGAAAGGCACAGAGCTTGAGGGTCTCATGGAGCAGATTCGACAGGAATTCACTGCCAATCCACCACTCACTGGAGCATATACCCCAAAAAGAGGTCCTGTCTACCATCACACCCACAGCAATCAATTGTTACATCATAGTCACACTTTGTAGAAATGTTGCAACCTAACAAGGCATTTTGAGGTATATTATTAATTTTTATGAATAAAATTGCAGGTGACATCTGTGCTGCAAAGTATGATGCAGATGGGTGCTGGTATCGTGCAAGAGTGGAGAAGGTGCTTGGAAAAGAGGCTCACATTCTCTTCATTGATTATGGAAACAGAGAAATTACAGAAACTAGCAAATTGGCATCTTTGCCATCTGCATTCCAAGGACCTGCACCATATGCTGTTGAATATGGTGTTGCATTTGCTCGCCTACCACCAGATGTATGTTTTAAATGCTCAATTCTAATTGCAACTCATGTTGCTTTTCTTATTAGGACACTGCCAGCACTTAATGTGTTGTTTGTAGATTGACTTCCAGCAAGAGGTTTTCAAGGCATTGATGGAGGATTCAGGTGATCGAGAGCTACTGTTGAATGTGGAGTTCAAGACTGGTGGGGTTGAATATGTGTCTCTGCTTGTGGCAGAAACAAAGGAAGACATCGTGAAAGGGCTTATCAGTGATGGTCTCCTCTTAGTAGATCCTCGAAGGGAAAAAAGGTTCAAGAGCATTGTATGTCCTTCTTTTCTACTCTCTGCTTTGGTGTCACCTATGTGTAGGATTAATATAGTTCATGTCATCATTCTCTCTCTGAAAGATTGCTGAATACATGAAAGCTGAAGAGACAGCACGGAAAGAACATCGCAATCTATGGCAATATGGAGATGTCACTGAGGATGATGCAACTGAGTTTGGCCTTGGGAAACGTTGAGTAGGAATGGAAAACCAAACAGCAGAGCTTCTGTGAGTTTTTTTATATTTTTCTGTCATTGGGTGTATTCAGAAAATGAGACTCACCAAGGGCTTAATAGAGATTAAATTCAGAAAATGCAAGTGGAGAGGTAAATGGCTACTACTTGGATGTTTCATGAAATCAGTTCCTGTTGGATCTTTGAAGCAATAGAAATAGCATTCAAATATAAGAAGTGAATACAGACATAAAGGATTTAAGCTGGTGGACTTGGTTGCTCAATGGAACAGCATCTCCATCTATGGCCTTTTGCCTTCTATGTGGTCTTTCTTCATGGTAGCAAAGGGAGCTGAAATTTATTTTCCCCTGTATGCTTAGAAAATCTCATGATTGAAAGGCTTAGAGAATATGAAAGAACAAAGAACCCCAACAGAATAACTAATAACTGCCTTTCAGTACGGATGCATGAGAGGAGTATAATAGAAACATGCATGAGAGGAGTATAATAGAAACATGCATGAGAGGAGTATAATAGAAACATGAAGGAAGCATTGGTTATCATTCTGACTGGTTGGTTATTGGTGAATTCTTCCATTTTGAAGTTCAAGTCTTCCTGCTTCAGAGAACACTGAATTTTTTTTAAATTTTGATTAAGTGAAATGAAAATATGAAAAAACATAAAATTAGGATGAAATGAAATCATAAATCACAAAAAAGCAATGCTCCATGGGTACAGAGTTAAAAAAGAAAGGAGAAAAAAAAGGCAAGAAATAAAATTATTTGAAGCAAACTAATGAGACAGGAATAAAAAATAAAAGCAAAAAACAGAAAATAAGGTGGTCTCACCATTAACAAAGCAAGTTAAAAACAAGAACATTCAACCTTCTTAGTGCCACAGGCCAATATTCAGTTGTGAAATTTTCTTGCTGCGAGTTCCTTACAAGGGTGACAGGGAGCTGTGTTGGGCATACCAATAGAGTGTGGTAGACATTTAACAAAAACATGTGGCACTTTTCACACATCCCTCACCAAAGAGCTTGGTAGCTTGATTAACTTTTGGGAAAGGCAAAAGGGAAAGGAGACCAAATCATAGCTGGGAACTCAAGGCTTCAGTCTTGATATCCAAAAGACTTCATGTTACATTCTGCATAGAAAAGATTTAGCATCCTCTTTATCAGTGAGAAAAATACAATAGTCTTGGTGGCCATGGCCTGTGCTACAGAAGTTGATTCCCAGTATTTTAGACTAACATGACAGAAATGGTTTTTGGTGTACTTAGCATTTGGGATGCACTGATCCAGGATTAGCCAATACCAATACCGATACCAATCCTGGTGTCTTGGTATTAGCTGATCCAATAATGATACAGACAGCTCCCAGTGGCTGTCAAAAGTGAAACCACAATACAGAACTAGCCCTTAGTAGGCCTTATGCAACCTTTGGCGTGGAACGGAAGAAATAAAAAATCCTCAAACACGAATGACCCAACATTCAAAATTCTTGTAATTTATTTAGCTCTGGAGACATACACATCGACCAGTAAATTAACATCTTCAGTATAGGCCAAAATTTCCCTCACCATTCACTGGGCCAGTCGAGAATACGTCGGACGTAGGTACTACGTACAAAGGGCAATTGGTGTGAAGAGGAGTAGGAGTAGGAATGTGTCCTTAAGGGATTAAGGAGTCGATGCAACTACAACCAGGATCGGTGCTCGAGGGGAGAGCCAGAGATAGGATGGATGTGAGCATAAAGTGCATCCGTGCAAACCAGTCAGCGCTGGAAGGCAGGAGAGGGACAGAAAACTATTTTTCAAAGGCTTTCCCTTAACCTGAACTTGTGACCTCAACCTCAACCTCAACCTCCTTACTTACAGGGCCAATCTTTGGCTAATATGAACTTATCTTCAAGACATCTCGTTGAGGATGTGTAACCAATCGCAAGCCTATTCAGTCTCTCATGGCCCTTTTAAGAGTAGGTGTAATGTAATCTCTGTGTAGTATCTATATCATGTTTCATGAACCATTTTAGTGCAGATGAAGAACTTTCAGCCTATCTAGAGTTCCTTGAGCTGTCTCAAAGAGTTCTAAGGAGAAAATGCCACTAGGAAGCATGGAATACAATGTGGACACCATCCTGTTTATTTAGGGATGTCTCAATGAGATATCCCACCTAATCGATCAGCCACTGCTATCCACCATTTCAATCTCAGCTCATCAAATGAACTTGGCACAAAATTATCTCTTGCATAAAAAAACAGAAGATCCAGACATTGATACTAAGGCCAAAGAAGTCCTGAATCTGGCTTAACTCCGACGTGATATCCAGCAACACTGGAGGATGGGATGGGAGCCATTGCACTGAGCCTAAATGAACTACAGTTAATTTATTTTTGGGACAAAATGGTGCACTGGAAGCAAAAAAAAGGACACTTTGTCTCCTGGAAGTCAGTATCTTATGTTCGGTTGATCTCTTGCCTCTGAAAACCTCAGGGGGAGAAAGAAAAGATTCAGTGATCTCCACAACCCCAGGGAGATGGAGCTTCAAATTTGCTGGAGTGATTCTGTTTTGAGAGAGGAAGAAGCATGCCAAATTTTGTTCTTGTTGATGCTCTGAAAGAGGAATATGAGATTATTGAAATTTATAGCGGGAAGGGGTTGAAGAAAGGTAATAGGTGCTACTGTGCCTATTGATGGGTGATGAGATACATGGCATTGCAGTTGGTGGTCAAGTCAATGGAAATAGGATTTAACAGAATTGGCCAGTCTTGAGAATAATGCATCTTTTTCTTTTGTGTAAGGTTGTATTGATTTAAAGAGGTCTTGTTTTGACTAGGAGCAAAACTGGAGCCAGGATATTGAGGGGAGTCCATGCCTTATGTTAAACATAAGGCATGGACTGCCTCTCTTACCCTTTTGGTCATGCTGACCCCAATTAGACCCAATTTATTATACAATTATTCATAACTTTCTTGATAACACAATTTTGTTAATATTTGGTCATGTTGGATACACCATGTATTTGAATTTTAACCAGTTAATAATATCTAGCAAGCAGACTCTTACTTCCATCAAAGTTACTGTTTCAACATGGCTGCAGCTCATAGGATGGTGTGGACCAGAAGTTTCCTACATGTATTCCCAAACTGAAATGTTTTTTCCACCGGTGGATGTTGTTTGTTAGTTTAGGGGTTAGCGTGAACATTCATTGTATTTCTTGACATTCTCATTTGGTTACAGAGCCCTGGGATACATTGCATATCTGTTCATATCCACAATGACTGGTCAGTAAAATAAAGTTGTTGTGGGTCTGAATAAGGTTGGGGTTGCCAAGACTACCTGCTTTTTGGTTTTTCAGACACATTTGATTGAAACCCACATGTGCACATTTTTTGTTCCATTGGGGTAACCATACTACAATGACATCAAAGTGATATCCTAATGAACTTTAAAATATTCAGCATGAAACTAGTTTAGTACAGGTCTGTAAGTTTCCCACTCACCCAATTTTTAACAAGAAGCTTAATTTGCAGTAGAGTTGTTGGGGTAAGTTTTTTTAAAATACAATTGTACAACTCTCATTTGGTGCAGGTGCTTTAATTATGAACTGTCATTACCTTTGACAGATAAAATCACCATCTACTTCTATGTTTCTGTCAAATATAAACATTTTCTCATTCCCACTACATGAGTTCACTATGGCCATTGTAAAAACCTACATGTGTTTTTGCCAAGACCTATCCTTGCAGAAGCTATTTTTGGCCATAGGAAGGACAGAGTGAAAAAATGTATTGTGAGTGATAAAATTTTTGAACATTTTTAATAGCTAGTTTTCATTATGCTATTCATGTTTCTGTTCTAGAACAAGCATTGATATTATATCCCACCAATTCTACAACAGTATCAGATATATTATGATGTGAATAAGTTGTAAGACTTCTTAATTTTATTTGTGGCGGACTGACAGTACTCAAATCAGTTTATTTATCTAAATAAACAATTTATTACATACAGTACAATTTAAAGCAAAACTTTCTTTAAAACACCTTTAACTATGAAGGTGAAAATACATTCAATGAAGCTGTCCAAGCATTTTTAGACAACTATGGAAAATGAATTTTTTCCATGAGGTTGATCAATTGGACAATATGTTGATGTCAAGGGAGCATTATATGGAAAAAATACATTTTGCTTCATGAGTCTATCACATTTCCTTATGTTTCAGGACAGAAACCTTTGGATCATCCATCGTATGTGTATTACAACAAGATTACACTCCTAAACATCCTACTACAGATAGTCATGATGTCTCTTATCACATTCCAACTTCTAAGGTAAATTACTTTCCACCAGTCAAGGTGGGTTCTGTTGAACATGCACCAAGTCTGGGTGCGGTGGTACTGCAAACAAGTAAGGAAGTCATTCAAAAAAAAAAAAGCCAAATGGCTACATTTTTGTATCAGGGTCCATTGGACCCAGAATGTTAGTTATGTGGTTAACTGCAGTAAAAACCACTTATTATTCAGAAAACTCAGATGTTGAGAACTTAATCAATCACACTATCCTGAGCTGCAGCCATTTTGAAAGTGACTTCAGTGGAAGTTGATACTTGCTATCTATACTTCTCCAGCTTGTTAGCATTAGCCATGTACATGGTGTTTTCAATGTGACCTTTATCACAACTAATTGATTTTGCCATCTAAAAAAATTATCATTTTTGTATGGTAGTGTCCAAGTAGAGCCAATATGTGCAAGAAGTTTAATTGAAATACAGCTGCTGCCACTTGTGATTGTGAAGGGTGGAAGACTGTTGGCCGAATGGCTCCTATTCAAACATCCATTTTCCGAAAGTGTCTCTTCACTGAATGAAAGTCAAATTCGCCAAATGCATTTCATTGAATGCACATTCATCAAACATATAGTTCATTGAAAAAGTATAATTTATTTTAGATCATACCATTCAAAATGTTAAGTCCTAGTCCTGTTAAGTCCTAGTTAAGTCCTGTATGCACAGCTGAGGAGTGCCAAAAATGAATATTGTGGGAGACTGCCTTCAAGCAGTTAAGGGTGTTTCTTGCATAATATTCCTCCACTATCCTCTTCAATTGTTGGTAATTTTCTTCAATAAGTCTCTTACATTTCCTTAGTGGAGCCCAAAGTGAGAGCTGAGCTACAGGGTAACCACTATGTAGTGATACCATTTCATATGGTCACAAAATCTGCAATTCTGAAAATGAAAGTTGAACTATGTTATAATGCACACTCTGGAGTTTGGAGATTTGGTGGTTTGCAATTTTTCATTACTTTCCTGAAATTTCACTCTTTAAAAATTACACCTGGAAGACAACCTCCCTGGAAATATACACGCTCACTACAGGAATTAATGGCATTGCCTATCACTTTCCTGAGTGTCTCGTGTGAAATGGGCAACTCAGCCTCTTTGATGTTGTTCTTTAGTGCCATTATAGTTTGCAGTTGGTTCCAGGACACTCAGGACTTCAAGTAGGTCCACAAGAAAAAATTTGGGTCAGACTGATATAGTGATCTGGTTGGTCATGCCATGTCACCGAACCAGGAAGTGACATGATTGGTAAAAGGTTTGAGCAAAATGTCCCATCATCTTCCACTTGATGGGACAACTTGTCACACCTTGAAAGAAATAATGGACATTTTGCGACGTTGAAGAGGCTGTGTTCCCCATTTCACTTGAGACCCCAAGAAAAGTGATGGATAATATCATCATTTACTGTCAAGAGTGTGTATGCCTTCAGGGAGGTCATCATTCTGGTGTAGTTTTTAAAGAGTGAGATTTTAGGAAAGTAATGGACAATTGTATATCTGTGAATCTCCAAATTCTGTTGTTTGTATTTGTAATGTAGTTCACTTTTCATTTTCAGAAAAACAGATTTTGTGATCACATGAAATGGTATCACTACGTAGCGGTTACCCTGCATTTCCTTAACTGTCCAGGGACCTGTTTGGATGATCCTTTCCTTGGATGAGACATCTTCCATTCAATGATTCCAAGCTTTAACGGAATTGATTGTCCAAGCTTTGTTTGCCAGGACAAGATTGCAAAAATTATAGAGCTGAAGGAAATGAAGCTTGTCCTCTTGGTCTCCCTCTTGGTTGCCTACCATTGATGGAAACCCCAAGAAAAATTCCTTGTGATTCAGTAAATACAGATTATTTGGTGACCTGTCCAATCATGAATTGGTGTCTTTGAGGGATGGTTGTTCAGAGAATCAATCTATTCAGAAATCAGTCATTAGGTTTATGGACTCTTTGGCCAGAACAACCATTCTAAGAAATAGATTTTGGAGAATAGTTATAGACCCATTGTGAATGTAATCAGCTGCCCTTTGTAATCAATTTTTGCCAACCCAATTTGCTTCAGACTTTTCATTTCATTCTTCCAATTTTTCAGATATTGTTTCCTTGAAGAATGAAGCCTTGAGCTTTCAAAATGTCGATGCAAGCAAATGACTTATTGCTAGTGAGGAATATGTATTCTGTTGCACTTAGAAAAGTGTTTATTTTCTGAGTACACCCCATTGTGATATGATCCAATGCAGAAACTAAAGACCAATATTGTTATTATTTGATTGCAGATGTACAGAATTTGAAGAGGGTATTTAGAATTGGGCTTGGTAGTGGGAATGATCTTGGTCATCTGTGGATCTTCTTCCCCAATGAGACATAGCTCTCAATCCAGTGATTTCTCACCATCATATCCATGTTGCACTCCCTTGTTATCCCATACTCCCTCCCAAGTCAATAAATTGTTAGATCAATTAATTTACACCTATTTAATATATTTTTTTAGATTCCAAGTGTATGAGCAGTTCTCCTGGACACTTGCTCTTGGAACTCCCTTGGAGTAATACAGATGAAATAATATTTTTTGAAACTTTCCCCCCCCCCCCTGAGTGTTTGAATTTGAAGAATTTGCATGACAACTTTTTAAAATCTTGGCTTGCCTTCTTCTTGTGATATGAATAAGATTCCCATGCTAGTGTCTGTATTCTGGGTGGAAGATGCACAGTGGTTCAGGGATCCATGTTATTTCTTTCTTTTCCTTTTTTCTATTCTGTTTCGGCTCTTCAGAGATGGACAATTTTTTCGTTGTTCAGAAGGCATGGATGCCTTGAAGAAGGAGAAGCATCTGTTTGTTTGAGAAATAAAACGACCAAGTTTGAAGACAGAAAAGTGTTTCTGGATTTGACTGTCATGTTTGGGATAAGGGCTGCAGAGGCCACGATATCAGCTAATGGCTTGATATCACCCAAATTTATTCCTCCTTTAATTGGACAGTGAGTTCATCAGCCAGACAAGGCTGACTTGAGTTTGTGTCTTTACTTTTTTTTATATCATCAAAAAAATTGAAAGGATGAGATGGAAGTGGGGAAAGAAGAGGAACCAATGATGAATGGAGGTGACCAGGAAGAAGGTGCCCCATGCATCACTAATGCCTTTGCTGCTTCTCCTGAACGATCTACAATTCAACCTCACTTTGATTCTCTCCAAATCTCAACTGGTTAGAAGTCTCATACAAAGCTCATAATTTTCATCCTTGCCCTGTTTCAGTCATTTGAAAACACTCATTATTACTCTATAGATGGATCATTCCTTCTTGGAGCTTCCAATTTGAATGGCCAGCGATGGGATGGGAGCATATGGCTTTGGAGAGATTCTCAAGCCCTTCTCATTCCTTCTAAGGCCAGAGCTGCATACTTCAATCCTGCAGGCATTTCTGATGTTGCCTTCCTTGACAAAGGCCAGAAAGTAAGAATCTGTACCTTATAGTTGCCAGATAATTAGCTTTTTGAACTGAGTTTGTGAACCTTAAATTTTTTGTAAGATTTCAAATTTAGACTGTTAAAGCTGTATCATTCTCTTAAACATTTATTTTTATTGGACACAGGTCCTTGCAGCAGAGGACACAGGTGTCATCCACATTTTGAAGGCAGATGAGGATGAAGATGGCAAAGGGTATTTTGCTCATTTGGCTGCTGTGGAAGAAAATGACGATGCTATACTGTCTTTGTCAGTCAACCACCAAACTGAGATTGTCATATCAGGGAGTGCAGATAAAAGGTCAGAGACCTTTCATCTCCAGTTACCAAGAAATGAGGTAGAATGCTACTTTGCTACATGAGGCACTCCTGTTGTAAGCTTCTTTCTTGTGTTCTAGCATAAAACTATGGGACATTCAATTGATGACATGCCAACGTACTTTTGACCATGCTCATGATGATATGGTCACATTTGTTGCTTGCCATCCCTCACAAGCTAATATTTTTGCATCATGTGGCCTTGATGGCCTTCTCACAATTTGGGATGTTAGATTGAAACGACCTGCCTTTGGTGAGACTTCTCCCCTATGTACATATAGATTCATTTCAGGAGATAGAAATCCATATGTCCTGTCTCCTTCAAAGCTCTTGAAAGGAATGCTGGGAACCCACCTATGTGTATTTCATGGCACCCAAACAAAATGATGACCATATGTTATGGACACATGGGAGGGGGTATCCAAGTGCGAGATGCTCGAATGGATGTTGGCTCTGTGCAGTCACGAAAACTTTATGACTTTCCTGTTCATCGTATTGCTCCTTGTCCAACACAGTATGTGTCCATCTCCTCTAAAGTATTATGTTGACTTATTCTGACAATGAACATGACTGTTTTTCTCTCATCTTACCCAGCCCAAAAATACTGGCTGTGTGTGGGGATGACCATCAGGTATTTCTCCTTGATGGCAGCTCTAGTGATTTGCAGATTATGTAAGTCAACTTTTGGTATAACCTGTTCATTTGACTTATCTAGCTGTAAAACAGGCTCTTGACAGTTCATATGGAGTGCCAAAATAGATGCACTCCCCCCCCCCTACCAGCCAGCCAAGATGTGACAGACAAGAATGATATCCTATTCTAATTGCCCATTTAGTTGTGCTTATTTTCCATGTTTCAGATTTGACTGTCTTTGCAATACAGCTTGTTCTAAATTGAGAGGAGGTGTGGCTTGTTGACAAAACAACTCAGGATGGCACAAGGCCACCCCCAAGTCTAAATCTCCCAATAAGTGACACCGTTCAGATGCAGTTAACATGACAGACTTTTGAATCGTTCAGCTTAGAACATGCCATGGCTTAGGTATAATCTTGTGGTCCACCACATCTCTGCTGGCCAGGGGAGTGGATCATTGCTCCCAACCTGCATGTTCACTCTAGTTCTCTCCTGAATAGTGCCTGTTTCCAACTTCTGTAGTAGGAGCCCAAACTGCATCCATGCTGAAAACCTTCACCATCTCATTAAGTTAGCATAAAAAATATTTTAAAAGTAAAAAAGGAACCATATGAGAGGAACCTGAGTAATATACAGAGTGTCCATGAAGTTGCTTCTCTATTTCATAAGGCCTTATCTCCATTATGGAGTGGCCTAGAATCTTCATATTTAGCATAGATGATGTACAGCCAATGGGATTTATGATAGCCAAATTTCCAAGGTTTCCAAAAGTTTCTGGATATCACCACCAGCACTGTACCAGCCAGAGACATGGGTCTCCCTCCCCATATTGAGGGACGCATCCAGTCTCTTCTCCAATGTACATTCCAGGACCGTGTGATCAGCAGGACTTTCCCACAGGCCTGGCTGCCAAGATCAGTGGATCTTACACCAGCAGACTTCTGGCTGTGGAGTTTTCTGAGTTCTGGTTGTGGGGTTTACAGTGCCCATCCTGTGAACTTTGTGAAGCTCAAGGAATGCATGGTGGTGCCATGCTGCACCAGATTCTGACACTGTCACCTGACTGTTCTGTCATCTACCACTTCATTCCATGGACGGAGGTGGTGGTTGCAGCAGGGGGTGGCCACATCGAAAACCAACAGGTTTGATAGTGTCATCCATGCGGGCGGATATTGGTATATGTGCCGACTTTGGGCTATGTGTCTGGCCAGTACAGCACCACCCTGGTGGTGATATCCAGTAACTTTTTGGAAACCTTTGGAAACTTGGCTATCATAAATCCCATTTGCTGTGCATCAACTATGCTGAATATGAAGTTTCTTGGCTGCTCTGTAATGAAGATAGGACCTTTTGATATAGGGAAGTAACTTTTATGGACACCCTGTGTTAGTATAATACCTGTATGCAAAGGTTTGCTGGCTTGTATTCCCTTATTGAAAGGAGAAAGCCATATATCATTCAGGGCTCTTGTCAATCCTTTGCAAATGCTTCTGAAAAATCAAATTAAATTTTTTCCTATGAGTGGAAAAGGTCATGCACAGCAAAAAAATGAGAAAATATGAATAATTTTCCTTTGTTTTCACAAAAACCTTTTCCAATGGCTAGAAGAAGTTGAATAGAATATCAATAAATAAGGATAATCAAAGGGAAAAGTTTGTGAAGACCACTAAGGTAGATCGGGGTACTCCAGAGGTCTTGGCAGTGAATCCTGACTGCAAGTTGATTAGAATTGGCAGCTGTAACCATGTGGAGTACTCATAATAAACTATGTTCATGGAGAAAAGTCAGATAGCAATGGCAGGTCATGAAGGTTAGATGAATGCTAGAATGACACAATAGAGCCTTCATAAAAGACTTCAATTTACTATAAAGGTCTAAGCCAAGGCTTCCCAAACTTCTTCGCGTGTGACCCCAAAAATCCCAATGATACCATTCAGGACCCCAAGCACTGCCTGAAGTTTGACAGGCTCTCCCACCTATGTGCTAAAATCAGAAATAAAAACATAACTTGGCATTTAGTTGCCTGTTCACAACCCCAAATATGATCTTAGTGACCCCAAATGGGGTCACAACCCATGAGTTGAGAAGCTTTGGTCTAAGCAAACCCTGTCATAGCATTACATGGAGTTCAGTGCAGTAGGATCATGATCTGATTCCATCTTTGATATTTGCAAGTCATGTTTCATCCCAAGACCTCAATTTTTTTTTCTAACCTTCATCAGATTTACTTATACTAAAATTATTTATAATAATAAAATAACCACCACTCCATATGCTATCAGGTGATGCACAGCTTTTTTCCACAGATTTGTGCAAGAAGGACACAGTGGTTTTGTTCATGGGCTTGCCTGGGAACCAGAGCAGCCGGTATTATGGACGTCTGGTTGGGACTCTCAAATATTCAAGACTTCTGTGAATGTGGTTGATCCTGGTCAATCCAATTCAGTTCAACATGTCATTCTATGAAAACAACTTGTCATGCTTCTTTCCATTTGTTGTTTCTTAGCAACTGCTTTTTCCTGCATTTTGCTTCATTCAACCCATTCCTAATGAGTAAATATAAATTTTCTGTCTTGTGTTGATTGTCAGTCTTCCTTTACTTACAAATTCTAGAACTAGAATGATAAACAAGGAAAGACATGCATATAGATGTTCAAACACTGTCTTTTTCTTTCAGTAAGATGTCCATTGATAATCACAGGGAGAATGTGAAGGTCATGTCATGAAACAAGCCAGTGATGGGGAACAGGATGAAAAGCAATCATGAGATCACATCAATGTTTCCCCCTTGGACTAGATTTAAGAACTCAAATACAAGTAGACCAGTGTGCATCTTGCTGGTTGCTTGTTGGTTTGTGCATAGCCTACAAATGGGAGTGTGTCCTTTTTTCCTGTCACTAACACACTTTCATACACTTCTGTGCATATGAGAGGGAGGAAATTCATGCTTGCACATGCGCACACATACACAGGGTTTGATATGCCATACAATGTTCCTGGCATTCAAAATTATCGCACTGAGGATGTTGCCTTTTTAATTTTTAGATTGTCAGAGAAAGGAAAGAAGTATTTGTGGTGATGATGACCCAGTCTGCACACCGCATCAATGAAACATCTACTAAATAGACCACTAGATGACATTGCATCATAGTGCATTATGCAGCTTAGAGAACTGTTTGAAAAGCCTTGGTAAAAATTGCCACCTGAACTAGGTAACATCTTCATGTTAGGTGACTTGTTTCTTTATCACAAAATACCATAGTTCTCATTCTTTCCTGTTGGAACATAAAACATTGCAGTCTACCTTTTTTATTGCAAAAATATTACAGTCCGAGTGTTATTTTCATTATTAAGAAAAGGAAACCATAATGTAGGCAATACCCACATTATAAAATGTTGAATGTACTTAGAGGAGACTTGTAAAACCCCAGGACTTTTAAAATCCTCTGCCTCAAGTTTCGCCCATTGCGATCTCAATTCAAGTTGACATTATGGAATCCTACATCCTTGGTATTACCTCAGTGATAGGTTTTTGTCCCACTTCCTGGCAGAAAGAAATGACTGACATCTAGTACACTTATCTTGCTTTCTGAACACCATCAACATTTACTTGATGTCCTTGTGCAGTCTGGGACGCAGTTGGTTGTGAGTTTCCTCATGAAGCCCTGGTACATAAGATGATATGGATGTGTGAGACTCTTTCCTCAGATCATGATATAGAACAAAAAGGTCGGGAGGACGGATAGTATGTGATGAGAGATTCCCTGCGTGTCATTCACAGGCGATCTTCCCATCGAAGCTGCTGAGGGCAACAGCAAATGCCTGAAGTGCACACATGGGGTAACGGAAGTCCATAGTGAAGACATCCTCTGACACCCTTCCAAACTGCATAACTACGTATTCAGCTGTTCAGAAGAAGAGGAAATTTTGGATATATGATCCTCTCTTAGAGGAAAAGGTAATAATAAAAAATACTAGAAGCTATAACATACTGTCACTGTCGTGGACGATCTGAAAATTCTTGACTGAAGCTTGAGTGACTCTGCCATGGAAATTAAGGACGTAAGACTGAGATTCCTCATTCCACACTGGGCTTTTGTTGTGCAGGACAATGATTTGTTCCATGTTCTGCATCTTGTACATGTCTGCAAAAACAGTCCCAAATGAACCTGTATCATGTAACTTACATGCTTTTTGGGGTATCATGAATCATGTCAAGTTCAAAGCTGGAGTGTTACCATGACTCACCGATGATGCCATCCCTGTCAGAATTAGGTCTGATGGCGACATGTTTCTTATCCCCTGTCATGCCAGGCATTATCACAGTCATCTTCCGAGGCCCCTTGAACCCCAACACGTTTGTCTCCTGCTCAATGAGTTCACAAGTGGAAAGTTCATACTTCCAGCCATTCCTCGTTTCACCTTGGTCTTGCTTTTTTTACAATTGGACTTTGGACCAATCAATAGATTTTATAACGCAGGAGGCCCAAGGCCCATAGCATGCACCAATGATGGTATGCAAAAAATATCAAGCATTTTACATATACCTTGCACGTTCATGAAAGAGTAAAAACCCGATGGTAGCGATCCTAATCGTGACCATTAACGTTAAGTTTCACTAGATTGATCTCGACTAGAATAAAAACATTCATGTGTTCGACCCAATATGAGGTCAAGAGTCATAACCCAAAAACTAATGACGCATAAATTCCAAAAAATACGTCAGTGTGTGACGTATTTTTCGGAATTTATACTGCAGGAAAATCCATGTAAAGGCCTCTTCGCCCTATCCAGGAAACAGCATCACGGGAGGAGGACCTTTGAAAGTCCAAGCATCCAGTACGGATGATTCACCACAGCGGCGATTTAAGGGCCATCTCACTTCTGTCGTGGGAACCTTGTTCGTTCCAGCAACTGCCAGATGGCTCGTCTAACATGATATAACGACGGTATTGAGAACTCGACTAGGCCATGAATTAAATTAACAATTCTAGCTCTGCTGACTCCACTTTGCACCATTAACATCGTTCACGGATAACCAACATTGAGTCTGTATATCAATACTGATGCGCAGAGTATAACGCCAAAAATTTCGCAATCGAAGCCGGAAGTGCGGCAAGAAGGAACAACGTCGACAGTGGAAAATCGGAAACGCAACAATACAGAAGAAAGAAAGAAGTATGCAGACAAGGAAATGTAAGGACAAGGGTAACCTTGGACAATAACACTGAGGAGGCGGAATTGCGTCGACGCATAATGACAAAATCATATGATGAAATGTTGGTTGACACAGCATAGTACAGACGGCCTCGAAATAGGGCTGGACGATATCTGTCTTGGGATAATATTGTATCGTCTGCTGCGGGGAGAATATTGATCGTGTGGTAGTGTGGAAAGGATAAAGCCACAACGTGGCGTTGGCATCTTATTTCCTCCCCTCTCTTCAGACCCTGTTCAATTTCATCGCGGCTGGAGAGAGGAGGGGAGTATTGGGATATTTCTATTTTCTTGGAAATGATGGTCTCCCTTTCCTCCCCTCTTTATTTTACGAAGTTGACAAAAGAAAAAATGCGTCACGACGTGCACCACGATCATATCGTGGTACGACTTAAGTCAATAATTACTGCTCTTCCTCAAGTTCGAACTTTCCCGCGGTCGGAAAGGGAGAGAAAGGGAGTTTTCCCTATACGATATCAAGTATCTTCAAAATCAATATTTGCAGGTTATCATTACTGGATCACTGCTGCTTACATTGCTAGAATCGCTGTCAGTTTCTTTTTTTAATGTAGGTCTGTTACTCGTTGAATACTAGCCTAGGTCACCCTAGACTAGTATTCAACGAGTAATAGTAATAATATAAATTGGTACGACGTGCAGGTGAAAAGATGCGATTAAGCCCTTCACATTCCTATCTGCGTTTTCCTTCACATTTCTCCCTCTCTCTCTCTCTCTCTCTCTCTCTCTGCAGCCAAAGGAATGTTCTTAATTGCCGGTCAGAACAGGAATGGTTTGAGATAGTGGCATATCAGAAGGGAAGTTTGATTTATGGCGCTGGCAGATCTACTTTCTTCCTTTCTGTGTGTCTCTGGGAGTAGCTCGCTCCCACTCCCATCTTCTCCTTCTCCCCACCCTCTTCCTTCCTCCCCCTTCCCCCCCTTAAAGAAAATTACACACATAATGAATTTTATGTTTAAAAACCTATAGTGTAGTTCAAGGGAGAATAGAACGACGTGTATGGCATCATCTGGAGCAATTGGATCTTTCGCATAGTTCACCGTCTGTTAGTCAAGTAGACAAGTAGTAGAGCGCCTGATAATTTGCCATGCATTTGCCAATTCCTCAATTTAATTTCCTCTGCCTAAATTATTAAAGTGAAACTCACGTGTAGTGGATTCTTTTCTCCATGCAATTAAAATTACTTCATTATGGACTGCTATCAGGGAGGGTAATGAAGGAACTTAAAGGGTCATGTTGTGGATGGAAAGACTGAAGAATCGGCACTTCCAAAAAATTATTTTAGGGTGAGGGTTGTTACGGGCTACTTTTAAGTGCGCCACCCTATATACAGTCATCCCCCGAAGTTACGTCGTAATTGGTTCCAAGACCGGCGACGTTAGTCGAGACGACGTAAGTCGAGACAGTACGGTGTTGCCGACTACTCGCAGTTGAGATACCAATTCATGGACAACGTAAGGGCAACGTAATACAACGTAGGTACGAATTGTGCGCTTGGCTTAATATATTGGGTCTGGGGGCAAACGACGTAAGTGCGGAACGACGTAAGTCGAAACGACGCAAGTCGGGGGATTACTGTATACATTTTTCTGAAAGCTCATGACTCCTCTGACATGCTTATGACAAGATTGATGGAGTGTGGCTGCGTTCCGGGCTTTTACAACGAAGAATTTGAATTGCTTTCAGGTCAGATAAGATAGTATTCTTGATTAGGTGAGTCACGCTATTGTTTTAGTGAGCAAAAACGGTTAAACAAGGGGTGGGTCCGAACGAATACATGATTACGTCTAATACCGCATACATTTCCGTTTTATAAACTCGAATGTTTCCTTGCTAATGCCTTGAGATTTAAAAAATTCATTTTCCTATATTGTGAATAACGTTTTTTGCTTGACTTTCCTCCCCTCAAATCCCATTACCTTGAAAGATTTATTTTCAACGTTTCTGCCATCATTTATAGCAAGACCTGTGATGAGTGTGCTTGAAGCTCAAACTCGGACGTCTAAGCTGATCAAAATCCGTTATTCATGTAACCATTTGTCTTCGTTATTCACATAACTGGCTGGAGTTTCATCACAGGTACAGATCTGCTATTCCACTGGTTACTACAGCCACCGACCACAATTACTACTGGTCATAAATACTGCTTCACGATCTGATGGAACCGCCCAAATGTCCTCAGTGCTGCCTTTTTGCTTTTCAAGGTACAGAAATATGAAGGTCTATGTGATTACCTCTCTAACCAGCATATCTACCACCCCATCCATGCGTGGGCAACAATATTTAGTATTCACGAATAAATAGACATATATTGCGAAATTCCCAAGTTTCAGCTTACCAGCTCCCTGCATTTTGAGAACATTTTGAAGTTAATTATTCCAGCAAGTAAAACAAAACAATTGATTGTCATCGAAACTATGGACAAACAGGAGGAAGCAAAAATAAAGAAGAAAGAAGGGAAAAAAATAAAATAAAAACCGATAGCAATAACTAGCATATTCTCAAAGGTCACTATGGAAATTATAACGAGGTAAATTAAACGCTGGCCGACGTTGTGTTTTTTTTTTTTAGACATTTCTATGACATGCTGTTGCCATGGGCCTGTCAGGAAGAAAAACGTCAAGAAACAAGCGAAACGCCTGCGAAGGAGAAGTGAGGAAAGTAAGGAAGAGAATGCGAAGAAATGCTCAACAATGTCCTCGAGGGCTGAAGGTTGGTTCATCGCTCTGCAAAATTCCCATCTTCTCTGTGAAAATGTATTTTCTGCGTCTCCGATCGGTTTTACTCAGTCGTTTTTTGCCGAAGTCTTGTAGGTTAGTTTTATCTTATTAACATGATTAGCAAACTAAGACACCTTTTGACAATGTCATTTCGTTGAGCAGCTGTGTGAATAAAGGTTATATGAATAACGAGTGCCTTTCGAATCGATTGCGTGGTAGACTCTTTTACGTGCAAGCTCCGGAGATTTTATTGTAAAGTGAAGTAAAGCAGGTAGGGTGGTAAATAATTTGAGGCCAACTGGGGGTAAATGAAGCTGAGGAAATTGTAAGCTGTCTTTCCGTAACATGCAATAGATACTCAAAGTGACATAGGATGGAAAATAAAGGAATAAGAAACTCTCGTCTTGTGCGTCACAATATATGGTGAAACTCACAAGAAATGTACGGCCACATGTTCTTCTCAGTCCAACCACGATGTCATTATTATTATGTCTGAGAGGCCCAATAGATATCAAGACAATTCAAGGCGATACAGAAGAGCCTCTACATAGAGCCAAAGCGCATTCGTTTATTCCAAAGGAAACTGAATTGTGCTAAGGGCGCTGCGAAGAGCCAGAGAGCAACCTACCTTCACAAGAGCTCGAAAAGAAGTGGCTCCTCTGGTAAAAGACGTCTGGGTTTGTAAAATGATCTTTTGACTTTGCATGCACATACCATGCTCAGCTGCATGGTGAACCTCCAAGGTGAACCTCACATGTACACGGCGAGCAAAATAAAAGCAAACTAGTAATAAAAAAAAATAATACAAAAATAACAATGGTAATAAATTAATGCAGTTTCTTGCAATAGAGAGAAAAATGAGCTCTGCACGTCCCAGTTAATTTTCCTCAAGGTGGAGTAGGCGTAAAGACGGCAGGACATATATGAAAAGCGATGTTAAAAATGACTGTCGTTCGCTCGAAGACAAGCGCGGAGTCGACTTCGGCATCGATCAGTTGCACCATCATATCTCTCGGAATTTCGCCGACTGCTAAGACGATTCGCTCCTGCAGCTCCTCGAGAATGTTGATTTCGGGCAGATGGTGGTGGCAAGCCGTATCCGATACTGCACTTCAGACTCGATAATCGACAAGGCTCATGTCCAGATTGCTTGGATGCCGGAAAGGAGGAGAGAACGATGGAGTTTCCCGCTGTAAGGACTCCAACAGGCACGATGCGCAAGGACACTCCTGGTGGAAAATGTGAAACTCGCCAGAAACGGAACGAACACTTGGCAATGGCTTCTGGGACAGTAAATCATCACGATAGTAAACTCCGTTGGCCTTCAGGTCGGTTCATGGAAGCGCACTCGGAGGTGCTCGACTGGCTGACGCCAACACTGACCCTCACATTCGCACTAGTTAGATCGTTTTTCGGATCAAACATTTCTCAGCAGTGTTCCTCTTTCTTTGAGCAGCTTGTGCATGCGATCGATCGTTCCGAGTGTTCACTAGACGGAAAAACTGTCAACTCTCTTCTGTGAACCATTTAAAAGCGCAAGGCATCGGTTGAAAATCGGAGCAGAGACGCTTTTTTCTGAACGTGCTTGCTTGTTAGCCTCAGTCAGACATCGACCAGCACGCGTCTTTATGCACTTTAGATTTAATTTTTTTTTTCTGCACAGAAGTTTGGCTGAAGGCAAGAGCCTATGAAATTTCTCGCTGGGAACGATGGGTTCTTGGATTATCGTCCTGGCTTCAGACAAGCTCTGCGATGGCATCGATGTCATCTCGGTTACGGATTGAAATTATGAATGCATCAAATTTTCGAATAAACATTTCCAGACCGCTGCGTGACCAACCCTTCCGAGGACATTCACGAAGCAGCTACAGTGAACTGTATCCTCGTAGCTGCCTAAAGGTCTAGATAAACGCATGGTCTTCTTCCTTAAGTTGAGGCATTTTAATGCCACCGGTGTTGCCACCACTCTCTTGCACTGTCGCATACACGTCTTACACGAGCTGATGGGAAAGAATTGGAGGGAGGCTGAAAGAGAGGGGCACAGAAGAAGCGCAGTACCTTCTCAGCTGCGAGACAGGGTGGTCGAGCTCCAATCCTAACACTCTTGTTATTCGTGTTTCCAAACGCATTACTCATACCACCTGGGAGAAAATTGACAAATTCTTGCACAATTATTTAATCTTTCTATTGCAAGAAACCGCATTCATTCATTATCAATGGTTTTCCTGTAGCATTAATTTTTTCATCGGCTTGGTTTTTATTTTTTTTTTGCTCACCGTGTTGTTCGTTAATGTTGCCTCATTGGTTCAACCTCATAATGCAACCTGGGAAGGTTCCTACAACTGAAGTGATTGGTGCCTGAATCGTAGATGCTGCGAATCACCTCCTGATGCAACTACAGGGTGCCCAATAGAAAACCAAAGGATTTATTTTATTATTATTAAGGATTTATTCAAGATTATTCACAAAGGATTTACAAATATTCTATTAGATGAAATATTATAGAAATATATATAGATATACTGTATATTATAGAAATATATATTATAGACGTGCTAATTGTAATCCTTTGGTTTTCGACTGGGCACCCTGTAGAATAAGTCTCCAGTATTTCCCATACCTTAACCGAACTTTTCTCAAAGGATATTTAACCCTTTGAGCAGTGAGTTCTTTCTAACCAGGGTGGGCTTGCAGGAATGAGTTTTTGCAGCATGTTGGGAGAAAATTCGCAACAATGCTCAAGCTCTGTGTTTGGACATAAAATTTCACACATTTATCGTGCATTAGTAGTATTTATAGCATAGTATTCATAGTATACGCGCCCATATTATTACTGAGCGGCCCAAGTCAGGACTTGTTTATTCGTTCATACTTCTCAAAAGGTTAAGTGAAGGCATCGGACTTCCTCGATGCTTTCGTCTAAAGAGATAACCCGGGCCAGAGGGATTCCGGGCGATTCTAGCACAAAATGTGGAGGGAAAATATCCAACCAATGACATTAAGTGTGAACAGAGGAACAAGCGATTTCCTGAACCATTGGACCCGTTCAAGCCACGTCTGGAGAGATGATCCTTTACCTGTGCACAGAATCGAGGGACACCTCTAGCATTTATTTTTAAAAAGCTCATGGTACTCGAACAGACGTGTCAGCATTTTGAGTCTCCCCAGAAAAGAGGAAGCATCGGATCAGAAAATGCACAGACGTCCATGTAACTTGCAGTTTTAATTTCCTTGGCTTCCCTGCAAGGTAAGAAAATGCTGCCTATATCTCGCAGAGGACACCATGAATTCACGTAGAGTGAGAAGAAACCTCGGTGAGATATCCTACTGCCATACCATACGGTTCTAAGACTTTACGTCATCAACAAGCTTATGGCATATTCGGATTCACTTCGTACTTCTTCGATTGATTTAATGAGGTTTACAATAGATAAGATTTGCTTGTAGGAGATCAAGTCATCGTGACCGCAGTTCAACGCAATGAAACTGAAATTATAGAAAGGAAAGTGGGAAGGAGACGTCTCCGCCGTGGACAGGATAAACAGACCGTCCTTGTCTCCCTGTCCAGTTAAAAGTTAAGAATGTACTCCAAAACAAATCCATTTCCCCTTACATTTGATCATATACGCTTAGAGCTATTATATGTCAAATGAAATCAATCCGCTTTCCACGGAATACTTGATATCATCTCTGATATAAAGTAGGAATCCTCTCCCACTCTGCCAACTCAATCTTTGTGGAACCCTCAACTAAGGGATTTGAAATAACGTTTACGAGTGGGGACTTTGCCTCACACTTAGATTTACACTTACATATATCACAGCGATGAGTTCGAGTCGGAGCCTTTCAGAAGGGATCCCAGGCTTGCTTGGCGATTCCCCTTGGTCAAACAGGGTGAAATGAGTCCCCAAAAGATTCGATCGCAATTTCCCTATGTATGCATCCCCTCCTCGAGATAAGTCCGTCGGGTCGATAGAGATCAAATAATTGCTCGTCGTGCTCTTCTTCCTCTTCCTCCCCGCGAGCAGGAACATCTGTAAAACCCATAGGCGTTATCATTTTCACATCTCCCATTATTTTACCAATTATGCATTGGAGGTAATGTACAGTAAAGTACGCGGTCGAATGACACTCGCCTTCCTGCCGTCGTCTCTCTCTAAGTGAAGAAAATAAGTGGGATAGATTCCTCTGTCCATGCCTTTCCTGTCTCGGGTGATTCGACATTTGATGAGCACATTCTCGGGCGCAGGGCACATGATGAATTCCTCCAGATTCGATGGCATCTCCGGTATGGCATCACCCGTGAACCGCGTCGTCGTCTCTCGGCTCCCTCCAGCACTCATACCCTTCATCGTTCGCACATCAACATTATGTAAACAGAGTAGTTCCAATTTTTAAGTAGAACAGAAAAATAGTTTGGGCTTCGAGTCGATTAATCGAATTTAATTAAATTAGTAAAATTAACAATTTTAATCAGCTCGAACTTTCACCACTTCATACGCCGAATGAGAGATGGTAAAACTTTCTTTCCTTCTCTCCACAATGATCCTGCTTCTTCCTGCCTTATTCCTGTGAGGAGGAGGGGGGGGGGGTGAGAGGCTGGGGGCTGGTAGAAGCTAATTCACCCCAAAATCGAAAGATTTTATTAGCGATCAGCTCTTTTGTCACTTATTAACCCCTTTAGATACTTGATATTTGTGAAAGGAAGATACCCTTTTTCTATTTTTTTTTTTTTGCGAAGGAAACAAAGGAACATAAAAAGAGGCTCGTTCTCAGCTACATATAGCTCCGGATGAGATGCAACAGCTACAGGTAAGAGAACCCGAGGCACCTTTACTTTTGAATTATTGTCTTAATTACTTAATTACGACAGGATCATGACTTGCGTTCTAAAAGGATCTGGCCACTCGACTGTCCTCAACCATCAATGCACTTTTGCCAAGCAGAGACGTCACAACAAAGAATAAACTGATCAGTCGGCAGAACGCTACAAACGGTACAATGGTATGATGACACGGCTGGGTATGATGACACATGAGAAGTATATAGTCGAGCACTCGTCCCCAAGGAACTCAACTCAAAGCTTACGGGGAAAAGGATATATAGCCTGCAGCAATGTTTTACAGCATTCCATATTTCAGATCCCAGGAGGAGAATGCAGGTTTTTGGACAGGGAAAAAATATGTGCACTTCCACGGAAAGAATGTCTTCGCGGATCCCTCGGGAACAGGGTGAAAGAGAAAATGGATTTGGTGGCCAACAGGTGAATCTAGATGGTATTCTGTAGAAGCAGAGAATATGCACTGAAATAATGCACTGAAATAATTGGACATATAATACTGATAATTTCGGTTGCTCAAAAGGAGAAGCCTATCTCCTCCATCGTTTCCAAGATGAGTTTAATTAACCAGTCTAACTTTAATTTTTCATTTCCCATTTCAGAAGAGAAACATGCCATGACATCCTTGACGAAAGAGAATATCATTGTTGCCATAGCATTCGTTTTACCGGTGGGGCGTGATTGGATTCGTGATTGGCGCCGTTGCTGATATTCCGATGTCCATTGACGAATTCTGCGAGAGTTCGTGGCTGAGACGGAGGGGGATTCCTCGGATTGGACATCTTGGATTCTTCATTATATCCAAACCTTCCAGGTTCACTCTCTAATGGAGTGGACTCTTCGTCTTCGTCCTCCGGTTCCATTGATCCGAAAGCCCGACCCAGATTCAGTTGCTTCATCTCCTCTCCTGGCATTTAGGGAGAGACAAAAAAGAATCAGAGAGACGTCGTGGACTCGGACTTGGCCTACAGTAAATGTGTGTCCACGTCGGTCCAGCAGTACTTGCTCTTCATCGGTCTGTAACACGTTCATAATTAGTATGGACTGTGCTTAATTTAGACGTGATGTCCGTACTGCAAACTGGTCTTTATATGGATACCGTTTTGTCCATATTTTAAACTTGTTAATGTTTATTTTTCTATCAATAAAGCTTATTAGCAGCTAAAACTGTCCTTTTCCGTAAGCAAAAAGTAGGCCACACTCTTACAGCATCGATTGGCGCCTTGACTTAAGGTGACTGCGGGTATTTGCAGCACAGCTGCATACGCGAGTGTACTTCGAATATTTGTCCATATTTCCATATTTTGATGAATTCAAAGGTGGCATAGGTCTGTGCGTTTCGAAAATTCTTTTTTCTTTTCTTGTACTTTCAGTATCAGATGAGTATTTTTGATCCTCAAAATCACGCCCTGAAAGCGAGATGAGTTCACTTATAACTCTATTGTTGATGTCAACTCTATTGTTATTATTATTCAAAATTGGGCTGTCTGTTCGACCGCCAGGTGATCCTCTATTACGAACTTCTAGATCTCCGGAAACACTGGACCAAACCAGATGAAAATGATTGGACAAGGAGATCTTAGCAAACGGAGTTCCTTCAATTTCGAAGGTAATGGATTAGTGTAGACAAGAGTTATGAGGATGGAAAATTGCATTGATAGAGTACTGCAGTCTTCCGGTTCGTGCCTAGTCGTGGTAAGTTTACAGGCCGTTTCTCTCGGCCTTTGTCGCTCGCCCATCGTGGGGGTTCTCCTTTAAATGGTTCGTTTTCACGTCGCGGGAGAGCGTGGAGAGAAATGCTATCACACAAGGCGCGGCCGTCTCGTCCCAACGTAGGAAACAGCGGGGGAAATGGGAGTAGAGTGACACACGCGCAGGCGCCGGGAGACTCCACATATGAAGAGAATCAATGGCTCCTTCTCTGCAGAAGCATCGGTGGTTCAGTGGTAGAATGCTCGCCTGCCACGCGGGCGGCCCGGGTTCGATTCCCGGCCGATGCAACCTTTTTATTTTATATTCATTTTTATTTCCCTGAAATCCAGTGTGACTCCTTACAATGTTTTCCTGTTTCATAAAAAAAAAAGCTAGAAATCGATTCATCTTGTCCTGACTGAACGGCCACCTACATGAATGCTGTCCTTTATCAGGCTCTCGCGTGCTTTATTCTCGAACCACGATCATGCAGAGGAATGCTATATTCTGGTTTCTGGCTGCATTTAGTGACTGGACCGAGAACGAAGCATAAGAGGAGTCAAAATGGATATTTTCGGATGGAAGTGCACTTCTTTCTTATTGAGGAAATAGTCTCGCTCTTTCCTGTCTCGCTCTTATCCTCGCGTCAATAAATGAGTCAAACGCAAATGGTCTTCAATTCACTGTCAATGTTCGATTTCTTTTTCCCTAAAGCGCGTGTCCTGGTTTGAGATGCACCATATCGTCGATGAGGTACAGATTCTAATCTATCGTTCCTTAAAAGGATAAGACGCTGGCTTCAACTCATCTGACACCGGCGTAACAGGAACACTGAATTTGATCTGACTCACTAAGAAACCGATCACAATCGTGATGATAACCTGCCTGCTTCATAATTTCTGGACGTTGAGGAGGAAGTCCATTTCCTTGGACATATTTTTACGAGGTGCAACGGAAATTTTACTTAGTAACATGGGGACCCTCTACAGCTTTGTACTGACCCCCCAAAATTTTGACTCTTTTGGGAAGTCTATAGTAGTGAATTGGCCAAATATTTACTAAATAAGATACCCCGGGAGTCCGAATTTTGAAACGCCACTTAGCCTATGACCATCCCCGGACCAAATGAGGAAGCCATGCAAAGTTTGGTCGGACTGGGATCAGAGGCGTGGCTGTGCATAAAGGACAGACAGACACAAACACTCTAATATAATATTATAGATAGATTATATTCTGATATCAATAGCATCAGATGTAGACTATTTCTTTTTCCTAATTTTCATCGTATCGGTAGTAATATGGTGATGAAATTGCGTCCTTCCAGCTGGGCGATCTATCACTGCTGGAAGCACGTTGGATGGCTCGTCATTAACCTGCGCAATACTCTCCTTCCTTAAGGAAAGCTAAAGTGTTAGTATCTTATTCAGAACATGATTTCAAGGCTGGGAATTTAATCTTTATATGCAACTTCATGTTCTATTCGAGGAGTCTCATTGATATACGCCAGTGATGCACAACTCGCGGATACATTTTTGCGGCCCCTTGGATGCCTCCGGTCTCTAAAGGTATATTATTATGCGACCGATTTCGGCTCAAATTCGAGGGCCTGCGGCCCTCATTGAGACGAAGTCTCAATTTGGCCCTATAGGGGGAAAAGGTTGTGCACAACTGATTTACGCCGTCAAATTGAGAAAATTTCATTTTCTTGTTTCCTCTTAGAATTCCTTGGTGATCTTACGATTATTGACATTCTTCACGGACTGTTTGATAGCTCCGTGACCTTGAATCCCTCACCAATGTCTCTCTCCCTGGACAAAGCTGAGAATGGCATTCTGATAGATACAATAGGGAGTTTTTGTAACCCGTTCTTGAGAGAATTGGAAGGGTTGCAGAACGGATGACGCCATTGATCACGTCAGCACCCACTTTAAAACGCGTGAGAAAGGCGTCTATGGCGTGGAGAAGTAAGTCCAGCTGTTCTTTCCGGAACGTGATCGCGATGCAAAAATGCGCCAATCGGAAAAGACTTGGCAGTCATGTGACCATTAGAGCGTTGCGCGATTCGCTTGTCAGTTTTCACTCAGTCGGCACAGTGATGGCGGATAATTTACTCTGTGCTTGCTGAGGCTGTTGCCTAATCTAACCAAATGCTGTGTGGAACCATTTTGCTGCAAAACGGATATTTGCACTCTTTTTGAGATGGGCTTCACGAATTTTAAGTCAACCCGTACGAACCCGCGACGTCTGGCGGGTCCTCAATTTATTTTAATCGATATAGTGAAAAGGGGTTGTCCTTCCTGTCTCTCGTCTTCTTGTCTCCTGTCTCTCAGTTGAAAACATTGAATTTCCTCATGCGAGCCAATTTAACTGCAGTAATCGAAAACGGATGAAAAACACATATGTGGGTATTATGAGAATTGAGAATTTGCCAGATTGTACTATGGCTGTGCACCTCCGAGTCGAAGAGACCCTCAGATCGGATGTCGTTCACACACTGGAAGTCGAGGAAACCCCGTTCCAGATCTGAAACGCTTAGCCAAAATGACTATCGAAAATCTAGAACTCGAACGCCTATGGGAGTCTGAGTTCTAGATTCTAGAGATCTAGAAAGCGAATGTATTCCTATTGTAATACATTCGCGTTCCCATTCTTCTCACGAACGGGAAACCAAACTTCTCTCATGAGTGAGTACCCAGTTCCTTTCTATACTGGCCTGAGCCAGGAAGAGGCTTCCGACCCTCTATGAGATCGAGCTATGTACAAAAATTACAAAAAGACTAACAAGTGCCACCAGGTTTAAAAAATGAGATATATAGACCTCTACTTGAATATACAGGGTGAGTCAAAAGTCCTGCCCACCTTTTGAACGCTAATAACTTCTCATCACTTGATCTCATGGAGATGCAGTTTTCACCATTCGAAAGGCAAGACAATTCTATATATGAGGAAGGATTTTTGCATTATTTTTCCAATGTAAATTAAATTCCAGTTCTGGGTCATATAAAACTATTGGCACCCAAAGCATGCGTACAACGCTGTCTAATTTTTTGTTCGATTGTCAGAGGGTGTCCAGATCGGAGAAGGTCTCCTACGTTTCCTGTCCCGTCAAAATTTGAGTCGATACGGGCAAACAACTTGCGGCTGACGGTCTCTCCGATCAATTTCTTCCTGAATTGTCGAGCGGTTTCCGTCGCATTCGGAGTAAAACCGAACTTTTGCAACTCGCTTATCATTGGTTAATCGTTTATCAGCCATTTTCCTTGATCCTCCATGAATTGGAATTGATCACAGTCAAGGCACAATAACTCTCATACTCGAACGGACAATTGGATGCGGTGCCGCAAGGATGTTTTCACGTGCCAATGCCTTTGTATAGCTCCCAGAATAGGAATTGAATTTTCGAATGATACCATAAGCAAAATAATGCGAAAATCCTTCATTCGATACAGAATAGTCTAGTCTTCCGAATGGTTAAAACAGCATCTCGATGAGATCAAGCGCTGAGAAGTTATTCACGTTAAAAGGGTGGGCAGGACTTTTGACTCGCCCTGTATAGCCGAATGCAATGAGGACAAATATGTTAACCCTCGGACTGCCAGATTACATAAGCCTACAGTGCAATCATAAAGTGTTACACATCATTTAATAGGTAATAAATCATGTTCCATGGCCCAAACGGAAATTTCTGGGACAGAATTTACTTACGGCGAGTGAACAGCTGTGCAGGGGCCCTCTGCATGTAAGAAATGATAGCTCTAGAGGTATTCTCATCCCCGGCGGCAATGAATTTCTTGGAGCGTTCACATGGGGCACTGTATGATGCACTGTTGGAAAAATTGCGCCGGGATGGCTCTTACCGCAGCTGTAATGTTTGCCTCGCTACATCTTTGAACCGCTGCCTCATCGAGGTCCCTTTCAGCTGCGGGAATAGGAAGAAGTCAGAGTGGCAGATGGTGGACGGAGTGAGCCGTGTACATCTGTGCATCGGTGCATTGTCCTGCAGGCACCACTGACACAACGTTCATTTCTCTGATCACTTATTTCTGCTGGCCTCACACAGGTGTTTCGGGACGTCGACGTAGAAAGCTCGGTTCGCGATTTAACCTCTTGGAACAAACCGGGCAACACTGCGGCAGTCGCAGAAGACGATCGGCATCGTCTTCGTCCGCGAGCCACGCCTGCTTCGGTTGCGGCGACCTGGGACCGGTCTATCGAGAATTCTGCCACTTTGACTCTGGGTTGAACTGAAAGAGCCCGGCCCCGGCAATGATGACGTCGAGGATAGTGGAGTCGTCGTCAGCTAGGTGCATCAGTTTCTCATAGACGTTAGCTCGAAGGAGTGAGTCCTTCCGATCCATAGACAGTAGTCGTGGAACACATTTGGCACGCAAGTGTGAGGAAGCTGTAGGTGCTCGGTCAGGGCATCAAAGACCGTCTGCGATCCTCGCGTACTAAGTTGCCCATACGTGTAAAATTTCTCCGTTGCAGTTGGCAACTGGATGGCCCCCACATGAGTCGTCGGTGACATCTTCAGAGCCCTCGTCGAATCTGCAATGCCATTCGAATGCGCTGGTATTGGACAGTGCTTCTTCCCCGTACTTTCGCACAGGAAGAGCATGTGTCTCCGTGACTTTTGTGAAGAGCTTCGCACAGAACTTGTTCGCACATTTCTCCAGAACAGAAATTACGCCGATCGTGGTCCGTACAAACGTCTTCCCATCTCGCTAGCCCGTGATGCAATGGATTTCAGTTGCCTATCTCCCCATCGGGAAATTACTTTTTGCCACCGAGAGACGTCATGGCTGAGCGCGAAATTTGAACTCGAATAAATTAAGTTCCAGAACTCTTAACTAGACCACCCAACAAGTTTTTAGGTTCAGGCGGTCGCTCAAGCGTAAAACACACACGCAGGAAAACTAAATCGACAAATCAACTGTGGCTTTGTGCATATTTAATCAAGGTCGATTTTACCGACTCTGGCATTCCTAGGGTATTTTAATACCTATACAAAGTGGTAAAGTCTTTTACATATATTCAAAGCGCTGATTTTTCCCCCCAGTTTTTACTTAGTACCGTTGAAGTCATGGAAAGGCATGTGAACAAAAGAGATCTTGCCTCGACACTCTTACCGATTGGAAGTGAGAACATTCATGGACCTTCTCTGCTCATGAATGATATGGCACCTCCCCCCCCCCTGTACCTGCGACCACTCCTATGTGGCAACTTCATGATACCGTCACACGGAGAAAGTGTCCTCCACTCCCAGTGTGTGACGGAAATGCCCTTTTAATGCATGTGATCCGTGAATCCAAAATTCCAACCCAAATAACCAAGGGCGTCAGTCAGGACAGGTCTTCGTCTTGGTCTTGGTCCCATGTAAAATTTTACGGACATCGTCCTCTTTGAGGAACTAAATTTAACTGCCAGTCCGCGGAAAAAGCCTAATTTTTTCCAACTTTTTATCGACTTTCGAACACCGATTCATTGCGCCATTCCTTTCCAAGGAGCGGTATTGCCACCAATGGAAGAGCGGTACGATCCATGGCGAATGCAAAGAAAATAAGACCGAGGGGTCTCGTGGTAGAGAAATCATGAGCCAAAGACGGGACCAATATTGAGATCGTCATCGCTATTTTGGAGCAATATCTGAGTAACTAGGGCGGTAATGTGTCAGATGAGCACCCATCAGAGGTATATGAGAAGAACAATTTCTCGCAGCCAGCCTTTAGCTCGAAACAGGAGTAAGAAACTTAAATATAAGCGAAATAGACTGATGACCAATATGGAATTTTTGCACCTGTGGTGGCCCGAGGTACCAACTTCTCGGCTACAGTTCTCGACGGCGTGAGCCGCCATTGTTGAATCTGAGACCGACTATCCCCTGTTGAACATGTACAACCATTTCGTACGAGCACATTTATTCGATAATACTTTAAATACCGCAATTCATTGTTTTTTGAGTCACCTTGGGTGACCTTTAAACGAGGACAGTCAGTTAAAAATAAAAAACAGCGCTCGAGAAATATGTGAGACTTGACATTCCTAAAATGATATAACAGTTTCCCTCACAATGCGTTGTAGCATCCGATAGAAGTAAAGTTGCCTCATTGTGTTCAAGACAGATTCAAAAGTTTTGTCACTGAAAGTATTAATTATAGACATACCAGGGAGGTAGTTGTTGGATGAATGAGGATCATGGAGATCTTCATCGCTCACTTCATCGCTCCTCGGTCCTAAGACAGGCAACACTTGCACCGTCGGCAACCCATCCGACTCCGCATTCACCTGAAGTGGATTGTCGATCCCTGCAGCATAGATCCAAAGGACGTTTAAAAGACTAAAGGTGAGGTGAGTGAAAAATGGAAAGCGGAAAATGCGTGTCCCTCGCCTTGTTTCTCATTCTTCTTGGGAGCGGTAAGAACGAGGGGGGAATTTTCATCTTTCACCCGAAAGGCTTTGAGGCTGGCCGATGGGACTCGATCCGATGCCTGTACGATGTTCGCCGTACTTCTCTTCTGCTTCTGCTTCGCTTCCAGCAATTGACGCTGCCCATCGCGCACCAAAAGGAGGCGTCACAATTATTGCATAGATAGGAGAGGATCGAAGGGGTGATTTTCAAAAAGCGATGTATCCATTCCGACTATTCGATTAGATTCATATAATGGTTCCTTTGGCATCGCTCTGCGTGACAGAGGCAATATTTTATAACAAATCGCTTCATACGGAATATCTGGGGGAATTCTTCCGTTCCTTTATAAATCCATCTATCGTCCATTTTCTCCATATAGTTGCGAACCGATGCGTTTGGATATTATTAAGCGTTTTGAAATCACCTCTTCATGTGTGAAATTCTGCCTCTCCTCCTGTGGAGACATACCTGTTTGTTGATCTTCTGTTGTCGGACTCCAGTGACGTCTTCATCCATTGCACCTGGGGGCGCCGACATCATCCCACTCAGCGGATCTTTGTTTCTCTTCCCTGGAATCCTATAAATGATTTCATGTTATTAATCAATCATCAAATGAACAAATTGTCTCAATGGATCTTCGAAATTCTCGTGGTTGGAACAGTTTACAGCTCGATGATCGAGTCTCCATTTGCTATTGCAAGGTAGAATATATTTTCGAACGGATTCATCGGTACTTTTTTCCTGCATGAATATACCATGAATAAACTAACCATATATAGTTTGCTAGTGGTCAGAGAAAACTATGAATGAGGTGATGAAGAGAGCCATGAGCACCATAGTCTTGAAATTTGCACAAGAGCCCTCTGTGTCCGGAGACATTAACAGGTCGACCGCCATGGGGCACACCGGTGCGCCGTGTTTCACCTTCTCCAAGGGATGCAAACATTTATTTTGGTCCAGGAAAGTCACCAGGCCAATATGGCCGGCGTGTTAAAATACAAGAGAAGGTCTGACCACCAGCAGTAAGGTTATTTCGCAGTCGCTTTCACTTACGAACGGCTTCGAATCATTCAGAAATAACAGCGACTAAAGAGTGATAAATTTGAGCGAAAGCCATATTGCTTGCCAATGATACTCAAGGTAGACTTCTAACCTGGTATTAATGAGGGATTCAAAAACCATAGCTTACTGATGGACGGAATGCAGAAAGTACTTTGAACGGACTAGAGAGGTCCCCCACCTCGGAGACTGGAATGACATCAGCAGCTTCCCAGACGGTAGACAAACTGTCTCATCAGTGATAAAGGGAAAATAACTAAGACACGGACCACAGAGTTCGGGTACGCAAATCAGAACCACTGAAGGGATGGAAAAAGGGCCACATGGTTTAGAGTAGTCTGAAGTGGATGTATACGGAGGGACTCAACTGTTACTTGGAGGCTACACATAGACAAATGGTGTTGGTTGAAAAGCATTATGACCACATTCAGAAACCTCGTTTTTGGGCTAGTAAGACATTTTTACAAAAAAGGCTGACTTCGTAGAATTTTGCTATTTGGAGATCTTGCTTGAATCTAGTCAAACTTTAAAAGACAATTCCGATTCATGAAAACGAGGGTTTCTTTTAGCAAAACTCTACTTTTTGCCAAGAGCTGAACTAGTTTGCATTTGTACATGTTCTTGCCTGGTCACGCGTTGAGAGAATTTTGGGCTGAGTGGCCGTGGATCGTAAAAATTGACTGCAGTACTGCATAAGACGATTGAAGAATACCCGGAATACTCGTATTCGCTACCACTCCAGTTGCTACCACTCTTCAGCTGAGTTCAAAGCAAGTCTCTCCTGCAGATTAGCGGCATATTGGGCTTCTCTCCTCAGTCTGGTCCTATGGATGCGCGTCTGGCTCTTTCATGCCTCTGGTATTCTGTACCAGCACCTGATGGCCTTCATCCCCGTGGTTTTTCTCGGCTTGCTAGCTTCACTAACGTCATTGGGTTGTGAGTTGGGACAGACTTATATGAAACGCGGAGAACTATAGCCATTTTGATCTTTTGACCGATAAAGACTTAAAGCTTTCCCAGGTGAATCTGAGATCTAATCAGGGGATAGTTTACAAGTGGATGCGTGAACCATCCCAAGAAGTTCATTGATGGCTATAAACGGTTCTCCACGTGGAAAGGTGAGTCTCTAACTCAACATCAAGTAACGCATGATCGATACAATCGAGAGGGGTTCTACCTCGTAAATGCCAGCCGTATATGGGAAAATAATTTATTATCTTTTAAAATATTGCTTTAGTGATACTTGACGAAGATAAGACTAAAACAAAGCTTTTCCGAATACTATTGTGCACGAACCGTTAAAACGCACTATATTTTCCTTTTAGATGACTTAAAATAATCTTTCACCATGTACGGCGTAGCAGAGATTCTCCTTAGCAAAACCCTCAAAACTTGGTGGGGGTTTTCAAGGAACTCACTGGCCTACGGACAGCACTATGAACAAAGCCTTCAAACCATAAAAACAGCAATGCACACGAATGAGCAGCAAAGCCTCAACGATGCCCAGTGTAAAGGAAGTCCAGCGCGGCCGTGTATTGACCATGCCGATGAATTATTCAAAGACGAGGATATAGCACCGATGGAAATGCACAGGGTGAGAGGATTGCGGGATTGAAAGACTCACTCGGCTTCGTCACATGGGGCAGCGAAGGGAAGCACATGGAATCGGAGGAGGAATCACGCGTTGTCTTTGATGATGGAACGTAAGCGGACCTGCTCGTCGTCAGCTTTCACTTTCTGCTACGATGCGCTCCCACGCCGAGTCCCACAGGCCTACATCGATTTTCCAATAGTCTTCTCCGGGCCCGCGAACCCGCAGATCGGAATGACGTTGTAGTCGAGATCGGTCCGAAGAATTCCAACCGAGCACTGGTCTATCGAAGGGCCCTCAGGTGTAATGGCGCAGAGGGCCGGTGACGAAGGAGGAAAGGAGATGTACGCGATATCGACCCCTACGTCCGGCTGACAGAAGAGTCATAGTGGTTTGCTCCTCGTCCACTGTACCTCCCCCAGGCAATCCTCTTGCAGGCACGAAGCACGCTGGGTTATTATGTCCCTCTTCCCCCCATATTCGCGGCATTGATCCGTCTTCCTACTTGCATTATGCCATAATAGGGATTAATCCTTTCAGATCATAGGTTCAGATCCGATTTGCGTCTCGTGAGACCCATCACATTGTCCGATCCTTTGTATTCGATGGGGTTTCTGAGAAAATCGGATGAAAATCAGATTACCTATAGGGACCCTGACACGGCGCCGACATGGTAAAATGTCACAATGCCCAATCAGATCTTACTACGTAAGGTCGCCTCGGAAAAAAATTAATAAAAGCAACGTATTGCTGTAAATCTTGTCGTTGCCACGCCCTTTTCAATATCCCAGTTCATTTTTTTTCCTCAAGACAGAGTCTTCCAATGTTTAGCGAAGCGTGTAGTTTACAATAAGATATTCTAATGTTTTATTTGCTTGACCGAGTTCTGGTTTAAATGTGAGTCTAATACGTCTTATGGGAAAAAAATTGTCAATAATAATAAAAATAGTAACAAAAATAATTCAAGGGTGAGTAAGTAAAGACACAAAGATGAATTTCGTACATTTGAAGGAACCTTTAAAGTACAAATTTTAGGTCATTTTTCCGCATAATCCCCCTGCACTCTGATACATTTGTCCAATCTTGCTACAAGCTTTCTAATCCAGCAAAGAATTATTTGGACTGGTGTCGCAGCCAGACTCGGACAGCGTTCACTACAGCGTCGTCGTCAGCAAACTTTTGGCCTCGTAATGCCTCTTTTAAGGGACCGAATAGTTTATAATCCGATGGTACGAGGTCAGGACTGTACACAGTAACCATGTCTTTCTGCACTGTGTGCTGAATTTTGAACATCTTGGTCCTGGGAGATCCAGGGTATTTCCACTCCATGCTCTGCCGTTTGCTCTCTGGCTCATAATAGAAAACCCATGTTCATCACCTCTTACGATGCACGACAAGAAATCATCACCCGCACGTTCATAACGGTCCAACAAGGCTGTGCACACTTCAACTCGACGGGCCCAGTGTTCCTCGGTCAGTTGTTTGGGAACCCACCTTGCACTAACTTTTGGGAAGTTGAGTTCATCGTGCACAATGGTGTGTACTGTCCCATGAATAACCCCCACAGCTCGTGCAATTTCACTGAGTGTAATCCTGCGATCAGCCGACACAATCTCATTTATGCGTGCAACCACATTTGGTTTGTTCAGTTTTTGATCGTCCTGGGCGATGCAGATCACTCATTTCATGTCGCTCATTTTCCAGCCGTTCCACCCACTTTTACGCATTTTTGCGGTTCATGCAGTTACCTCCATACTGTCTAACCATCCTGCGATAGATATAGGCAGTCCTCACACCTTCTGACTGTAAAAATCTGATAACAGCAAGCTGCTCCGCAACTGTACATGTCTAGTGGTGCCGCCATTTTTTTTTTACTTCCGTCCTTCATGTGGCTGACTTTATAACTACATACATAGGAGGTACTAACCTTCACCACCGAACAACCACTCTACCTGCACGGTAGCACTATTCGTTATAAATAATTATTTTGTCTTTACTTATTGACTCGCCCTCGTAGATTAATAGAAAAGTCCTCTTTGCCCTTTGATTGACCCTGAGCTGGCTTTCCGCAAACATACTTCCATTCCTTGTCTAATAATATTGTTCCTAGATATTGATGACAAGCAACAATGCGTAAATGTTTAACCAATTTTTTCCCCGTTTCAGCAAGCCTAGGAACTAAGGATGTTGCTCAAAGTGATTATGTAAACCGAATAGTGAACGTGTCTTTTTGTGCATGCAATAGATGCAGCTGCCATGGGCAAGGACAATAATTCATATTTTTCTGAGGATCTCCGAGTAACCAACGATAACTCGAAAAAGTTTTAGCCCCCTTGAGAATGTGAGCAACGAGGACACCTCGTGATACCGTCTTCTGTGATGGTAACTCATCCGTATTCGCCCCTTTAAAAATACACAATCATCCGCGTCTCTTAAAATATTATGCATACGAGGGGTTATGCAAAAGTCCGCGGCAACTCAAAGAAATAATGTAGACAAATTTTTTTTCATATTTTTTCCATGAAGCATGTTTATTCATGATCCCAAACCGAAAAAAATTCAGCACTTCTCAACATATTCCCCGCCGATATTGATGCATTTCTGGAGGCGGTGAATCCAGCGCTGGAAGCAGATTTCAAAATCGGCCTTCTCCAAATGATCCAACTGCTCCTGGACTGCGACGGCGATTTCTTCCTCGGTTTCGAAGACTTTCCCATGGAGAGGCTCCTTCATCTTTGGAAAGAGCCAAAAATCGCAGGGGGCCAGGTCCGGGGAGTAAGGTGGCGGCTCCAAGACGTTGATGCCGGAAGCGGCCAGGAACTCGATCGTGTTCTTCGCTTTGTGCGCTGGGGCGTTGTCGTGATGCAGAAAGTTCTTGCGCAGGACGGACTTGGGGCGACCTCTGCGGATGTTTTTGAGAACTTCGGGCAGGCACTTCGTCGTGTACACTGCAGATGTCATCGTTTGTCCTTTTTCGAGTGGAACGGACGCCACGATTCCGTCGAAGTTGAAGAAGATGGCGAACATGGTCTTGGTGGCGGTCTTCTGGCGGATGGCTTTGATGGGGGGCACCGCCCCTTTCGCAGACCACACCCTGGACTGTTTCTTGGTCTCTGGTTCACTTTTGTAGAACCAGGCTTCATCTCCAGTGGTAATTTTCTTGAAATCGGGTGATTCTCCATTCCGGAATTTTTCCAGAAAGTCCTTGGCGAACTTGACTCAGGCCTCCTTCTGTTCAGGCGTCAAAAGCTTGGGGACCCATCTTGCAGACTTCTTGGTGTAACCAAGGCGATTCAGGATCCTTGAGACAGCTTCCTGGCCGATTTTCAGCATTGCCCCGAGCTTTTCTTGGGTGATTCTGCCATCGTTGTCTATCGCCGCCTTCACTGCCGCCACATTTTGGTCGTCCGTTGAGCTTCGGGGGCGTCCCTCACGTGGATCGTCGTGGACGCTGAAATTTCCACTTTCAAATCGCGAAATCCATTTGTTGACCATCGTCTTGCCTGGAGCATGTTCGTCGTAAGTCGCTTGAAGCTCCCGAAGAATCTCGCTTCCCTTCATCCCACGACGGAAAAAAAACAACAAAATCGCGTACCGGATTTCCTCCACGACCGGCGGCGGAAATTCAACCGGTTCACCTTCATCCGATTTCCGTTTCCGCGTCTCCATCACTTCAATTTTTCCGGATATTTTTCCTTACACTCTTGAATAATGAAGGAACAAAGGAAAAATATAATCATCACGATGAGCGGAAGGGAAAAAATAGTTGCCGCGGCCTTTTGCATAATCCCTCGTATAGCGCTCGCCTGCATAGTAGGAGTTGTTATGGCATTATACCAGTCTTTTGATGAAAAAGTAAATCACTGCCTGAAAATTTCTAACGTGTACTCGCCAACCTTTGAGCTCTGTGAACATGCCACGTCAGAAGTAGGCCTATATAGATTTTCTCTAAGCCATGAATTAACTTCAAATGTCGCTTGATTAAATACGAGTTAATAACTCTAGGCATGTCATACCGTCTCTGAAAAAAAACATGAGAAATGTACCAAGGCTTGCGAGAAAACGCAGTTGCAGAGCAACGGGAAATTGAAATGATTCCCACAAATTAAGAGTTAACATAGCAGGAATTCCCGCGGTGATTAAGATGTTCTCGTGTCGGCTATACTTGATTTAATCGTAGCCTCATCATGATTAGCAAAACAAGACTTTCAGAATCACTACTTCCCTGAAGATGGTGTCCTGAGATTTCATTCCAAGAGGGTCAAAGAGGGCGTAACTTTCTGTTGCGTTAAACCCTCTTGAAGCATTTTAATCACCCAGTCTCATTGATGCTGAATGAGCCTTAGAATTGCTCTCATGTTTTTTGGAGACGGTAAAACATACACGCGGGAATCAGCCAAAAAAATATTCTCAATGGAAAGTAATCATAGTTGAAAGCACTTTTGTGCGTTCAACTGTGCAATTATACCACAAATGGTCCATCGGAGTAGCTTCCTTATCTGGATCAGAACTGGAGCTTAGTGCTTGAATGATGCAACTCACTCCTTCAATACTTCAACGAATACTTCTCACAAGGAACACTACCCAAATGATAATTTCAGATTTTCACCAAACTATGGTCATTGAAAGGGCTCTCAAAACAAAATCAAATGGCACCAAAACTTGCGGCTGAGAAATAGGTTTAGGCTCATAACTGGCTCTCTCAATTTTCAGTGATACATGATTATTATAGTCTTGGCCCAATTTTCTTTGACTATAACTTTCCAAGGAAAGTCAGATTCAGGTGATATTTGACAAAAAGGTTCTTCAGTGAATGAGGCTTTTTTACATGCCGTTAGGTGGTGCTGCATGCCGAATGAGGGCGATGATGTCGACAGCAACGCCACCTATCTACTTGCTATGCCATTTTTTAGTCACTGGAAAAAATTCCTCCAGGCCTATGAATCTCTCAGCCAATTATCAGCTGCATACGAGAGTTTTTTCAAAAGATATGGCCAAGCAAAGATGGATTTTGACCTAACATTTGAAATTTGTTTGGTCATAAATTTTTAAGGAAAGGTCAGATGCAGCTGATATTTGACGGAGATATTATTGTGTCTATGACCTATTCGTTCCCTTGCCCGGCACATATTTGTTGACATTGACAGAGGGCGCAGTTATTGCATTTGACTTCGTTCTGAGAGCCTTTCAATGACCAAAGTTTGGTGAAAATCTGAAATTATCACTTGGGTAGTGTTCCTTGTCAGTACAACTAAGAAGTGTGAGCTTTGTTTAGATGTCTAGCATAGAAAATGGGTGCCGTACGGTAGCAGTTACCTAGACTGTACAGAGGTGGCGCCAGTGCTCTCTTAATTTAGATTGACCACAGCAGGATCAAACGTCAAGAGTTTTGCGATGTAAAAACGAATTATAACAGAGGAAATTCAGGCCTTTCGAATGATATATGATAGGAAAATTGAGTTCAATATGAATGGGAATGGTCACCCTGGTCAGGTAAAAGGTCAACTCAGAAAAAAAATCTAAAATGAGTTGGACCATCTGCAGGAAATTGCAAATCGAATGAGGTATCGATGATGAAAATCAGTTGAGAAACCTAGGAGTTCACTGGACAAAATCTGGCCAAATAGACTTCAGCCGTTTATTATGTACGTGGTATATAGATTGCCTATGGACATCCTCCTCATGTCGGGAGTTGTCAAACTAACAATGAATCAAAATATGTGGAATATATCTGAAGAAACTCAAGCCTCGTTTTCCTCCAAGAGATGTCTCATCTGGGCGTCCAGGAATTGATGACTTATGGTGAGCATCAGTTAATCTGATGGAGTGAATTGCCTTCTGTTTACCAGATGTAATATCTGTAGGCACTAAAAAGGATCATGCCTTTCCCTTTTCCTCNAACAGAGAACTATCCGATAATGCAGCTTTATTTACCGGATTTACAATGCATTTTCTCTGAAATAAAGCAGTATTATCGGATAATGCTCTGTTCAAAAATCCACCCTAAATATTTCAGGTATGGAAAAAGTGGACCCCCCAAAAGCATTCGGCAATTATTTCTTTTTTGCATACGTTTTTCGAACAAAGTTATCTCATTGAATGACTAAGAAATCATATTTGTATTATTACTAGTAGTATCTTTCCTCACTTATGTGATGGTTTTGATGCAGGAAAATGGATTGTGGAGTTGCATTAAGACGTCTTAAGGGCATCCTGCAAGACAATATTGTTGACATGGACAGATTCATAGATATTTTGGCAAGGCATAACTCCATTACGATGGAAGAGGAGATGCGGTTAAAAGAAGATAAGACTTACTTGGACAAGATTGACATACTTTTCTTCATTTTCTACAAAAGAGATCACCGCCAGGCACTGACATCTCTTCAAATGATACTGCAGGAATTGGGAAGAGATGATATCACCAGGAAGCTGGAGGATTCTGGTAAGGTAGCAGTAAGGTCAGTAATAACAGTACAAATATGTTGCTTTACTTGATGTGATTCACTCGAGTCGTGTGATTGGGATGCACATAGCACCATGAAGCTGCTCATGATTTCAGAACGTAATTCAAGGATGCTTGCAATGAGAGAGTTTTTTTTTGTATCGTCCTTTCAGGTGCATTAGAATATGAAATATTCTATATATAATTCGTAATATAATTCATGAAATAATTCTATGAAGATAATTTTTGCAGATGGTGTTAGCTTCATTAGTGCAGCCATGTGAGTACTTTTTAAACTTTTCTGTGAAAAGTGTTACAATAACTCGACCTCGCTAATACTGATAGCATATGGACATATGCGACTCCCTCAGAAAATAGCACCCTTGGATGATCTCGAGCTCACTTTAAAGGAAGTATCGCGAGAAGTTTTCCTCCTTCACTTGATTGCTTTTTATTCATATCGCATCAACTTTGTTGAGCCTTATAACCGAATGACCTAGGAAAGTGGACATTCTGATATTGTTATTGACTGATCTGGAGAGTAGCATCAGCTACTTCAACTCTGGGTATCTCTTTGAAATGCCTGAAAATGAAGACTCAGTACACTATGACTCTGAAGCCTACGACCACGGGGAAGGGCATTTATGTTTAAGAAATAAAAGTAGTCATTGGAGGTCAATTTTGGGTTCTAAAGAGGATGCTGCACGAAGTCCCGGACCAGTTTACTGATGGCGCCCGAAGTGACGGTGGCTGCGTGTGGGCAAGCGTTATTGAGTTCTAGAAGCACTCCTTAACGAAACAGATTACGTTTTTCCTTTCGCAGGACAAAGGGTGACCCTCCTGCAACCGTCAGATGGTCTTATAGCAGGGACACCCTGAAGCATCGGATGCACCCTATTGGCTCATTCAATTTGCAAAACCGGACGTGTAGGAACTCTCCATCAATATTTTAAGTACACTTTTTATTAGGAGGTGAAGACTGGATATTTCCATTGCACGGCCTGCACTTTGTTTAAGGGTAATGAAAATACATTCAGGCCACTTCTCAATGGGGGGGGGGGGGATGTCTCCAGAAAGGTCACCTTCTGTAGCGGGTAAAGTCATTCCTGAAAATATTTGCTCAAAGGGTTGTCCTCCCTGAATCCTTGTGCACGCCGTACACTATTAAAGAGTCAAAAGTTAATGAGGTTCAAAAGATGAGTGTCAATGCCGATGGTGACAAGTGAGAGCAATAATGTTGACGAAAGGGAATTTTGGGGAAATGAACTTGGAAAAAAACTTTTCTGAACTCAACTTTTTCCCTTTTTACGACCTCCCCATCCCATCAATACAATATGCAGTCTCTAGGGTTGTGAGTGCAGTAACATTACCGTAACGTTACCGATTTGCAGGTAAATATCTTGTTGTCGCTTATCGGTAATGTTACCGGTAATTTACAAATGACGAAAACTCATCCATATGACGTTTTGCAGTTCGTTTTACATGTTAAAATACATAATATTGTGATTTATGTATTTATTTATTCGTTTTCTTTCGTAGACCGAAATCAAGCGGAAATTAACACGGGCGGAAATCAATGACGACGGTATATGGGCGTAGGCTCGAACGTCTCTGGAGCTTCTTTCCACTCCTTACAAGTGATGCTTTAATTATGATTCTGGCAGAGATTTTCTGATTCAAAGCAAATATTTTTATTGTTCATCCCTTTCAAATACACCTCCTACGCCTGAAATACGATTGAAGCCTAGGATAAGGTGCCTTTGGCATATTTAGCTCAGATTCTTCTCCACGTCACGTGCCGACATACGATACTTACGAGAATTAGCGGAGTATATGGTATGACGTCACCCATAGTCTTAAATAAATGAAAGTAATAAAAAAACTAAAGGAAGAAAAAGTTGTGCCTGTTCTGACTCGGACCTCACTGCATCTTCACAAGGCAGCCCTGAGCCAAGGCCGTGGGTGCGACTTGCCTGTTCATAATCTGGACTTCTTTTTTTACCCCAATTTTCCTTCTTTTCCCCAGTCTCTAAATGTTTTCTTTGTTCCGGACAATGGAACAGAGACTCATGGGCACGATAATGTTACTGAGGACCAGGTGGTAGAGTCTAATTCC